GGACCTTAGACTGGGCCAACAGGACAACAACCCTAAGCACACAGCCAAGACAACGCAGGAGTGGCTTCGGGACAAGTCTCTGAATGTCCTTGAGTGGCCCAGCCAGAGCCAGGACTTGAACCCGATCTAACATCTCTGGAGAGACCTGAAAATAGCTGTGCAGTGTCATGACTTGCCCTCATGGGATGAGGATCAAAGATGCCGGCTAGGCAAAGGTTTGAACACCCCCTCTCCTGGGGGCCAGTTTTATGACCGGTCGTAAATACCGTGCAGACTTTCTCTTCCTTGCCATGAAGTATTGGGAGAAAGGACCCCTTTGTTAAGACTGAGATTCTTCCCGCCAAAACTCCAACATCGAAAAGTGGATAATGAAACAATATTTCTACCACAAATAATGTGGGAAATTGTCGGTGGTGACTTAAAGAACAATCATGTCAAATTCGTTACTATGTTGTGATGTCATTAAAGACGATGGAACAACATAACTGTATCTCTGGGGGGTGTACACTTCCCAGCTATGAGGTTTGCATCTAATTGTTGTAGAAAACGAATGATTAAGTATAATAATACTTTCGTGAAGATAACAATGTGATTTTAGCATTCTAGATGAGATGATTGTTTTCCATATTGATTTGTTCTCAGTCAGTGGCCATGCCCAATGAGCACAAACATGATGAAACGCCCCCTTTTCTACTCAAGTATAAAACCCCTCGTGATGAAATTCACCTCAGACCAAGCAGATTATGGTATAAGGCGGATGTTGCAAATGGTTGAATTTATACCAGACCAGGAAGCTTGAAGCTGAAGCTACACGGCTTAAAAATGGTTGAAACTCTACAGACCAGTAGACGTGAAGCGTGAGCTAAACGTTAAAATACGTGAGACGTTAGTCCATACGTTTGAAATGGTGAGAAACTCTGAAACTCTCACTCTACACAAGAAGATGAAACTCGCCATAGCATTACCAGTCTGCAGCTGGCATGTATAGTCGTCTAGAGAACTTTCACTAAAGACACGAGTTGGGAAGGACAATCCCTCTCACACAACCATTGGTACATCTGAAGTAACTATTCTAACAGATCAACTCTACGAACTACAGGGTACGCTGAAGTATCCATTCTAACCACCACTACGACCAGAAACTCTACAAAGGACATTGGGATCTCTGGTGGGCAAACCAGAGTCCTACATCATCAACTCAACTATCGAGGACAGCTACACGTAAATACATGTTGCATTTCTAATCCGAATGAGCAGATGCTAAACATTTGTATTTCCGTGAGCGTAGTTTCCAAAGTATCAACGATAGTTTGAATCTCTGTCTCTCCCTTCCAAGCATTCATGCCATTGTTAGTCCAGTCCACTAGGGACCTGTTTTCATTGTATTACGTTAGTAATCAGTAACCTGTGTGTGTGTGTATTGTGTTATTATTTAGATAGTACAAAAATAATTAAGCCAATTTGTGTATTGCTGATTCATCAATAAGGTTAGGGTACTTGCAGGTTCAAGGATTATGCGACGTTCAGAATGAGACTGATAAGAGGTAATTATTTAATAAGTGATTTATCGATATACAACATATACCTTCTAAGAGTTTAATTCGGGAGATGGTAACTCGTTAAACAACTTATTTCGTGGTGCCCCAAATTCCTAATGAGTTAATTGTTACATGATTAATTTAAATAGTGACAATTAAACAGAGTCAGTTGAGTCGATAAATAAGTCATACATTAAAGTAAGTCACGCCACGACAGCAGCGACGCTCCCTATCCAACCTGACAGAGTTTGAGAGGATCTGCAGAGAAGAATGGTAGAAACTCCAAAGACAGGTGTGCCAAGCTTGTAGCGTCATACCCAAGAAGACTCTAGGCTGTAATCGCTGCCAAAGGTGCTTCAACAAAGTACTGCGTAAAGGGTCTGAATACTTGTGATATCAGTTTTTTTTATACATTTGCAAAAATTTCTACAAACCTGTTTTTGCTTTGTCATTATGGGGTATTTTGTGTAGATTGAAGGGGGGAAAAAACTATTTAATCCATTTTAGAATAAGGCTGTAACGTAACAAAATGTGGAAGAAGTCAAGGTGTCTGAATACCGAATGCTGTGATCGTATACAAATATATAATAATAATTGATTGGGTTTATATAGCACTTTTCTACTAACTGAGGTACTCCATGCACTTTACATACTCACCTCATCCACCATCAATGTGTAGCACCCACCTCAGTGATGCACAGTGACCATTTTTTGTGCCAGAACTCTCACCACACATCAGCTATCAGGTGGAGAGGTGAGGAGTGATGTACGACCATTAGGGGGATGATTAGGAGGCCATGATGGAATGTGGCCATGTTGGGAATTTAGCCATGACACCGGGGTGAACACCCCTACTCTTACAACAAGTGCCATGGGATTTTGAATGACCACAGAGAGTCAGGACACCCGTTTTAACGTCCCATCTGAAAGACAGCACCCTAACGCAGGACAATGTTCCCAAATGTAATCAAGGTTTGAAATTATGTTTTATTATATCGGTTTAGGCTTCTTGCGGTCAGTTTGCATTCTACATTTTTGTATTTATTATTATGTTCCGACCCCCTGACCCTCCGCTCAAGAACAAATTGGCCCGCGGCTGAATCTAGTTGATGATCCCTGATTTAGGGTATCAATTCTCAATGACTTTCAAAGACATTTGGAGGTAAGTATTTTGATATTTTTATTTATTTTTATTTTGAAAAGACAAAATAGTTGAATATTCCCGGGACCACCCATATGTAAAATGTATGCACACATGACTAAGTCGCTTTGGATAAAAGTGTCTGCTAAATGGCATATATTCATATTGGAATGTATTTGGAAATACACTAGGGAAGTATTTGAAAATATTCAAAATACACAGACTAAAATAAACTCCGATGCATTTAACCCAGGTATTTTAAATAATTGTTTGAAAATACTTTTAAGTAGTAGGCTATTTATAGGAAATTATTTGAAAATACTTCAAGTATTTGAGAAGAACTTGATTCGGGCCACATTATTTTGGAGTGAGTATTTAAACAACAAATAATCAAATAAAGATGTATTTAAACCTAGGTCTGATCGCCTCCCATATCCTTTACCTGTAATGTCTGTCACACCTTAACAGTCATCATTACTCCAATGTATAGGCCTGCTAAGTGTTTTGTGTAATACGGTGTAATAGTGTTTCCCTTACTAACACATATACAGTGGGGAGAACAAGTATTTGATACACTGCCGATTATGCAGGTTTTCTTACTTACAAAGCATGTAGAGGTCTGTAATTGTTATCATAGGTACACTTCAACTGTGAGAGACGGAATGTAAAACAAAAATCCAGAAAATCACATTGTATGATTTTTAAGTAATTAATTTGCATTTTATTGCATGACATAAGTATTTGATCACCTACCAACCAGTAAGAATTCAGGCTCTCACAGACCTGTTAATTTTTCTTTAAGAAGCCCTCCTGTTCTCCACTCATTACCTGTATTAACTGCACCCGTTTGAACTCATTACCTGTATAAAAGACACCTGTCCACACACTCAATCAAACAGACTCCAACCTCTCCACAATGGCCAAGACCAGAGAGCTGTGTAAGGACATCAGGGATAAAATTGTAGACCTGCACAAGGCTGGGATGGGCTACAGGACAATAGGCAAGCAGCTTGGTGAGAAGGCAACAACTGTTGGCACAATTATTCAAGTTCAAGATGAGTTCAAGATGACGGTCAATCACCCTCGGTCTGGGGCTCCATGCAAGATCTCACCTCGTGGGGCATCAATGATCATGAGGAAGGTGAGGGATCAGCCCAGAACTACACGGCAGGACCTGGTCAATGACCTGAAGAGAGCTGGGACCACAGTCTCAAAGAAAACCATTAGTAACACACTACGCCGCCATGGATTAAAATCCTGCAGCGCACGCAAGGTCCCCATGCTCAAGCCAGCGCATGTCCAGGCCCGTCTGAAGTTTGCCAATGACCATCTGGATGATCCAGAGGAGGAATGGGAGAAGGTCATGTGGTCTGATGAGACAAAAATTGAGCTTTTTGGTCTAAACTCCACTCGCCGTGTTTGGAGGAAGAAGAAGGATGAGTACAACCCCAAGAACACCATCCCAACCGTGAAGCATGGAGGTGGAAACATCATTCTTTGGGGATGCTTTTCTGCAAAGGGGACAGGACGACTGCACCGTATTGAGGGGAGGATGGATGGGGCCATGTATCGCGAGATCTTGGCCAACAACCTCCTTCCCTCAGTAAGAGCATAGAAGATGGGTTGTTGCTGGGTCTTCCAGCATGACAACGACCCAAAACACACAGCCAGGGCAACTAAGGAGTGGCTCCGTAAGAAGCATCTCAAGGTCCTGGAGTGGCCTAGCCAGTCTCCAGACCTGAACCCAATAGAAAATCTTTGGAGGGAGCTGAAAGTCCGTATTGCCCAGCGACAGCCCCGAAACCTGAAGGATCTGGAGAAGGTCTGTATGGAGGAGTGGGCCAAAATCCCTGCTGCAGTGTGTCCAAACCTGGTCAAGACCTACAGGAAACGTATGATCTCTGTAATTGCAAACAAAGGTTTCTGTACCAAATATTAAGTTCTGCTTTTCTGATGTATCAAATACTTATGTCATGCAATAAAATGCAAATTAATTACTTAAAAATCATACAATGTGATTTTCTGGATTTTTGTTTTAGATTCCGTCTCTCACAGTTGAAGTGTACCTATGATAAAAAATTACAGACCTCTACATGCTTTGTAAGTAGGAAAACCTGCAAAATCGTCAGTGTATCAAATACTTGTTCTCTCCCACTGTATACTGTGTGAATAACATGATCTAGAGGAATCTTTCCATAATTGTACCTCTCATACCAAAATGGTTTGCACAGACAACTAGAACTATTAATGACAGTTGTTGCACAACAAGTACAGCGTTGTAGTAAAGAACAAATAAAGTGACAGTTAAATCAAAGATTTTCCCGGAATATTTATTCTGAATATGTACAACAATTATGTTTGATTACAATGTAATAAAGAGTGAAAACGATGGTCATTACAGTATTCATAAGGCTGACTCTTCCGGTTCCAGTTGCATGAATGGGAAATGAAGTGCAAGCTCAGAGTAGGTTCTGAAAATATAGGTGGAAAACATATGTACCCTGTACAGGAAACAAGTACATTTTATCTGACTCTTTAAAAACATATATATTGGACCTTGTAGGCTCAAGATGAGCCAGAACATCCATTCCATTAGTCTCAGTTCTGGAATCCAGCGAGATGTGGGCAGCAGGATATTCAACATTTCAATTCTACACTGTACATCTGCATTACATTCAAATGTACAAGACGCTAAGCAACGGGTGAATCAAATGGGAAGCAGTCATACAGTAGCAAGAGCATCACAAACACATTGCATGTCTTAGGGTAAGTGTGCCTTTTACACACACTGTGCAATAGTGACACCCTCCGGAAACATTGGAACTTCATGAAATGACCATGTTGCAAGTTCAGCTAAGAGTAACAGCATTTTGTAACAAATATCCCTAGTCTAGACGGAGATTATATGTGATTTCTGAGAAATCAGGAATCTCAAAATATGGTTAATCTAATCCTAATTGTGTAACAATTGCAACACTGTTTTGACCTTGAACAGAACATTTGTTTATTTGGAGTCCAGCTTTGCCTCCCTTTCCTTGCTGGTGGTCAAAGACCTGGCACCTTCTCCAAGAGTACCTTTAGAAGTAAGTCCCTGGTGAACTTTGTCATGGGGTGAAGTCTTGGACCCCTTTTCTGTGGGGTCTAGTGATGTTACTTTACCACTTGGTGTATCCTGGGGAAACGTTTGTGGTAACACTTTACCACTCTGGATTTCTTTGGAAGGTGGGTGTGGGGACATTTTACAAGTCAGGTAATCTTGGGTAAGGTTCTTTGATGGCACTTTGCCACTTGGTGCACCTGGGGCAAGGGATTGTGGTGGCGTGTCACCACTCTGGGTTTGTGGCGGTGCTTTGCAACTTTGGGCATCACGCTGCAGACTCAGCTCGCCCCATTTGTCTCCTGCGGTGTCGGGGGTTGAGGCCTCCAGTTTGTCATTGGGGGAGTGTTGAGTTGCTGAGAGACCAGCAGGAGGCTCCAGGTCCTCAGAGGTGGGTTCCAGGGCTGCTTTGCTTTCTGTGGTGGGCTGAGGGGGGGACTGCTGGGATGCTTTATCCCCAGCTGCAGCGTTTGGGGAAGGGTTGGCAGAGCCAGACCGGGGATCTTTGGTGGGCGATGAGCTGGTCCCTGTGAGGGAGAAAAGGAAGCGCAATGAGCATGGTCAACTGTGAGCATAGCTCCTCATACTGCTGGTGAAATGGAGTTCAGCTCATCTCAAGGTTGTGGAATTAATCTCCAGCTGTTACTGGGCTTTCAGATGTTTCAACTTGGCATTCTCCATTCACAAGAATATTGTGACTGAACAATAAGGTAAAATTCCAGTGGAAGGTCAACCTGAGAAAAAATGGCAGTGCAGACTAACAGTAGGCACGTCAAAAAACAGATAAAGCAACACCTCATGGTTACAACGCCTCTCCCCTATTTGACCTAGATAGTTTGTGTGTACGTATTGATATGTAGGCTACTTGTGCCTTATTTAAATTGATGTAGTTCTGTCCTTGAGCTGTTCTTGTCTATTAATGTTCTGTATTATGTCATGTTTCATGTTTTGTGTGGACCCCAGGAAGAGTAGCTGCTGCTTTCACAACAGCTAATGGGGATACTAATAAAATACCAAATAGCTTCATTTGCATATTCATGTGCATTTTAACACAATATTTCAGAAAAGGTGTAATACAAATAATCTCATGTCTACATTCAACTGGTAATGGTCATTTTGATAGATAAAGAATACATATATTTTATACTCTATTTGGTGTGGTGCCTGGCTTTATTACCCTAATTAACATAATTATGTAGTTCCACTTCTGTTGACATTCTAAAAACATTCCAGATGACAACACTTGTGTTACAGTATGATAGATTTTGATCAAGAAAAATCGGACCGTTTCAGACTCTGTCACATCCATAACGGGGAGTGTAACATCCATAATCGTAGCTTCTCCTCTCCAAAAGTAATACATGTAAATTACAATCTTTTCAAAATGATTGTTTTTGTGTTCAGCCAAGCCTTTCATTCTAAAATGGCTATCCATGTTTTTAAACGTAAGACTTACAAACTCAGACTGCTAATATGTTCAGTCTCCCCAAAAAGCTTGTCCATTTCATGTCACATCCAAAAGCGTATTTTTTGCTTTATTTCTCCAATATGAACAAGTCCTTTTTTTTGTGTACTACAGCCAGCCACACACATCAAACATTTAAATTATGTTTTGTGTGTCCATTCTGTGAGAAATGTTGTTTGTGATACTGTGCAAATGTCACATCCATAATGCTGAAATAGCCCAAAGAATGGTCAAATAAAGAGCAAACACTTTCAGTTCAACAAAGAGTACAGGTCACACAAACAGAACAAGCCTATTAGTTACTACTATAGCAAGTGATGGGTTATCAACACTAAATCGTTTACCAGTTGCAGCCTTGTCCACATTCTTCTTGCCTTGTGTGAAAGGGCAGGGCAATATCTTTGCTGGAGTGTAAGTGTTCAAAGGAGTTTTCTTCCCAGCTGTCGAACACAAAAAAATAAATTGAGATGCGAGCATCGACAAATTACTGTTGATCATTTGTACGACGAGCAGCGATACGTACCTGGGGAGGAGGCAGAGATCTCCAGGAGTGACTCATGGGATGCAGCTATGGAAGCCAGGAAGTCGTCTATCTGTTTCAGCGAGAGCGAGTTGTGCAGGGTCTCCAGGGGGCATATGGACGGAACCATGGAGTACAACTCAAAACCTAGAGGGGGGAAATGCCTCCGGATGATAAGCCGACAATACAGAGAACACTACAAGCCCTCTGGAGACTAATCATGACAGAGAACATTGCATTATTTGGGGGGGGAATGAAAATCGGCAGACAAAATCACAACGCTTCAATTATCTCAAAGTGACAGCAAACAAAAACAAAACACTACCGAAACAGATCAGATCTGATTGAGGTGAATACTGTAGGATGATGGCAGACGTATGACACAAAGTATATCCCACTGAAAGCAATACCCATCACGACTGTCCCAGCCAGGATGAGAAGAAACACAAAAGTGAATGTTAACTTACCCTAGTTGTGATTACAGTTTGGTTTATAAAGCCTTAAAGCCTTTGATGGACGTGGGGGGAGATTTAATAAAGTGGTCTAACAAACACCACAATATTGTTCAGGGGAAAAGCTAGTGTTTTATTTTTTACATTCGGTTTAAAGCCGCAATATGTAACGTTTTGGGCGACCTGACCAAATTAGCATAGAAATATGAGTCATACATCTCATTGAAAGCAAGTCTAAGAAGCGGTAGATCTGTTCTATGTGAGCTATTTCTATGCTTCCTGTTCTTAAGTTTCGTTTTTTGCATCTTTTACTTTCGGTTTTGTACATCAGCTTCAAATGGCTGAAAATACAATATTTGTGGTAATTGAAAAGAGATTTCACAGCGGTTTAGATTGCACAATGATTCTCTACAAGGATGAATGGAGCAAAGTACAGAGAGAACCTTGATGAAAACCTTCTCCAGAGCGCTCAGGGCCTCAGACTTGGGCGAAGGTTCACCTTGCTTGTTTTGCCACAAACTGAAATTAGGAGAACTATTAGAATTTTAGCAACCAGGAAATGGCGGAGTGATGTCTGCATATTGCACGTTTAATAAAATACCATACTGTAAGAAAATGTCATAACTGTACATGCAACTATTTAAGACGTTTTAGAAATTACAATACACACAAAAGAACATGGGGCTTCTTTCCTTTTTCATCTCTTTTTCCAAGCCACTTGGCTCTTTGGTGGCTCTAGCACTATTCTTCAGTGGTCATCCATTAGTGACTGTGGGTAATACAGTGCATTCGGAAAGTATTCAGACCCCTTGACTTTTTCCACATTTTGTTACATTACAGCCTTGTTCTAAAATGAATAAAATAAAATAAATAAAAACTCAATCTACACACAATACCCCATTATGACAAAGCGAAAACAGGTTGTTAGAAATTTTAGCAAATGTATCAAACAAAAAACAGAAATACCTTATTTACATAAGTATTCAGACCCTTTGCTATGTGACTCGAAATTGAGCTCAGGTGCATCCTGTTTCCCTTGATCATCCTTGAGATGTTTCTACAACTTGATTGGAGTCCACCTGTGGTAAATTAAATCGATTGGACATGATTAGGAAAGACACACATGGTCTATATAAGCTCCCACAGTTGACAGTGCATGTTATAGCAAAAACCAAGCCATGAGGTCCAAGGAATTGTCCGTAGAGCTCCAAGACAGGATTGTGTCAAGGCACAGATCTGTGGAAGGGTACCAAAAAATTACTACAGCATTGAAGGTCCCCAAGAACACAGTGGCCTCCATCATTCTTAAATGGAAGAAGTTTGGAGCCTTCCTAGAGCTGGTCGCTGGCCCAAACTGAGCAATCAGCAGAGAAGGGCCTTGATCAAGGAGGTGACCAAGAACCCGATGGTCACTCTGACAGAGCTCTAGTGTTCCTCTGTGGAGATGGGAGAACCTTCCAGAAGGACAACCATCTCTGAAGCACTCCACCAATCAAGCCTTTATGGTAGAGTGGCCTGACGGAAGCCACTCCTCAGTAAAAGGCACATGATAACCCGCTTGGAGTTTGCCAAAAGGCATGTAAAGACTATCGGACCATGAGAAACAAGATTCTCTGGTCTGATGAAACCAAGATTGAACTCTTTGGCCTGAATGCCAAGCGTCACGTCTGGAGGAAACCTGGCACCATCCCTACGGTGAAGCGTGGTGGTGGCAGCATCATGCTGTGGGGATGTTTTTCAGCGGCACGGACTGGGAGACTAGTCAGGATCGAGGGAAGGATGAACGGAGCAAAGTACAGAGAGATCCTTGATCCTTTTCCAGAATGATCAGGACCTCAGACTGGGGCGAAGGTTCACCTTCTAACAGGACAACAACCCTAAGCACACAGCCAAGACAACGCAGGAGTGACTTCGGGACAAGTCTCTGAATGTCCTTGAGTGGCCCAGCCAGAGCCCGGACTTGAACCCGATTGAACATCTCTGGAGAGACCTGAAAATAGCTGTGCAGCGACGCTCCCCATCCAACCTGACAGAGCTTGAGAGGATCTGCAGAGAAGAATGGGAGAAACTCCACAAATACAGGTGTGCCAAGTTTGTAGCGTCATACCCAAGAAGACTCTAGGCTGTAATCGCTGCCAAAGGTGCTTCAACAAAGTACTGAGTAAAAGGTCTGAATACTTATGTAAATATTATATTTCTGTTTTTTTTGCAAAAATCTCTAAAAAACTGTTTTTGCTTTGTCATCATGGGGTATTGTGTGTAGATTGATGAGGAAAAAACTATTTAATCCATTTTAGAATAAGGCTGTAACGTAACAAAATGTGGAAAAAGTCAAGGGGTCTGAATACTTTCCGAATGTACTGTATACAATTGGAATTGGTTAGATATACTTAATTTCTAAATTATTGTAGAAAATATATAAATAAATAATAATAGTGTGTCTTTTCAAGACTGAAAGAGCTGCGGTAGATTCAGTTTCCAAAGCATGTAGAATTTGACAGCTGAGAAGGTAACAAGTAACTGGGAAAATAATATTTAGGCAGTACAGTAACACCAATGCGCAAATAAATGTGTCTGAGACACTGCAGACAAAGGTGATGATGCAGAAAACATATACGGTTAGTATGTTGCAATGAGACATGGCTTCTCTGGTTAATACAACATGAGGGCAAAAGGGGGCATTTTTATGCTCACTAATAACAGCATCAAAATCTTCCCCATTTGCATGTCATTGAGGCAATTCATAGAACTAAATATGTTGCTAAATATATATAACTAAATTCAATTGAGCTTATCATTTTAGGCAATAACCACATATTTGTATGAATACTCCCCAATGAGTCTAACACACCATGGATGAAAAAACCTTGGTACTCTGTACAAAGACACATTTTGAGATATGATAATTATGTAAATTAATGTTAAAAAATATTAGATTTGAACAAAGTTCCTTTATCAATAAAACCTTTTTTGTTGGCCAAATAGAAATAAAATAATAAGTATATTTGCAAGGATGTAATAACACAGTAATTACACTATGATCCCTCAGGAAAAGGTATAGATTGGCTCTTCCCCCTTTCTTATTAAACGTATCTTATTTGACCTTATTTTCCCTATAACAAGTAAATATATATTCATAATATTTATATATGTATCCTAGAAATTCACAGTAATAATGATAACAAATCTTAATATTTTATCAATAAATATACTAAACCTTTTTGGACTGTAGGACATGTCCTGTATGCCTGTGGCTTAGAGGATTTATTATAGATAGCACCTCACAACAGCACCAAATAGAAATATACATTTTCATGAGCAAGAGTGTTCTGGGGGGGGGGGGGGGGGGGGGCAGGACTAAGAAAGATCAAGGAAGCTGAACTATACACAACAGAAAAACTAAAAACACCAAACAATGTTCAGACAAGATATAAATGGGTAAATTACACATAATAAAACACTTACCACAGAACATACTGGAAAAGACTGACCCATTTAGAAAAGCAGAAGAAAAACAACGATAACCCAAAATTATCAAATTAGTGCAAATTGGTTTAATGTACAAAGAACGTACTTTAACGACAAAATCATATTTTGTTGCATCAAAATTAGAGTCAACCACAAGCTGAGGTGGCTGACAGGTTTATGCGGACCAAATGTAAGAAAATATGAATCCCAGATATCACATTATGATTTCAAATTTCAAAAGTTGCCTTTACATCTAAAACAATTAAGGAAAAGTGCAATAGATACTACAGCTATATTTGACTAGATTAGCAGCATTACTATATTTGACTAGATTAGCAGCATTACTATATTTGACTAAATTAACAGCATTCATATTTGACTAGATTAACAGCATTACTATATTTGCCCAGATTAACAGCATTACTAAATTAGATTAACCACATTACTATATTTTCCATAGATTAACGGCATTACTAAATTTGACTAGAATAACAGCATTCCCATATTTGCCATAGATTCAAAACATTACTACATTTGACTAGATTAACGGTATAACTATAATTTGCCATACGTCTAAAGGAACATTTATAGATTGGCAACGTTCTTGTGATACAGTCACCCAACTCTCGACACAACAAAAGCCATCAAGAAAAAAAAAAACATACCATTGAAGGCCATATTCGAGCCAAACAAACTACTAAAACTACAGCACCGCAACTATTAACATGAACAGATGAGCAGGGGGACAGGACTAGCTAGCCACAAATAGCTCCATGAGGTCCTAAACTATAGGGTGACAAACATGAGGACTTTTCAGGCGAACAAAAGAAGCACATGGTCTTGGAAGTTTGCATGAGCATTCAGTAGTCTCAATGTTTATGATCACATTCCATGTGCACTGCTTTGACGCTAGCAGAGGATCTCATGGGGGAGGGAAGATTCTATCCAGACCAAAATAAACAGGGATGAGGTAAGGGGGTGCATCTTAATTAACAAAAGCAAACATACCATTGGTCGGGTGTCGCGCAAATGAGATAGAAAATCGTTTTACAGCAGACCCACGCGTGGCCTCTGAGAAAGAGAAAAACAGGTACCTGAAATGTACAACAGCTAACAGAAATAGAGGTTAGGAAAAGGCTAAAGAAGTGAAGTATTAGAAGGCGTGCAGGAAAGAAGGGTGAGGAAAGGAACGTTTTGTTTTAGTAGTGAGTTAACTGTTAGGATTCTCTCAGCCAGAGCAAGGTTTGTGAAGATGAACAATTATTATGGTTGTCTGGAAACAATTTCTAAAAAGGCCAATGGACACCTGTACTGGTCCCCCACTTTATTGAACCTTGCATATAGCAGAATCAAACCCAAACCACATCTACTGTAGCTTCACCACCTGCCTTCCACCAACTAGTTTTCCTACAATTACCTTGCTGGTGCTTCAGCATCTTTTCAGTGCTACAAATGATTAACTAATGTCCAACTTTCCACACATTACAGTATAAATAGGATACATTATATGTGACTGTGCAAAGAATCCTGGATTTTATGGGTTAAATCAATTAAAAGTTTGATGATCCTGATCAATTTGCTTCAAAACTAAGGAAAAGCTGTTCATTTGGACAGCCATAATCTTAGACATTTTTGATTTTCTTCATGACTTTATTTCAGCAAGCCATGACACCCACCATCTCAGATTGTTCTGAAATCATTTCTGTAGTTATAAACAGATAAGATTAGCATCCCTGAAACGTTATTTTAATTTTAATTTAATCTCTGAGAAATTGCACCCAAATTGGACCTTTTGATTTGCGGGATTCAGATAATATTCAACAAATACAGTATAGTACCCAACATCCGATTGGACTAAACTTCCTCCCATTGAGTAAGACATGAAGCCACCCACGGACCCACGGACCCCCGCGCCAATCCCACCTCAACAACCAGTATATAGTATCAGTTCTCTACGTTTGAAAAGTAGTATGAAGCTGCGGTTTGTTGTATTGCTTCTTCATCTTTTGTAATGCATTTCCTGTGAATCTGGTGATTTTTTTTTATTCTTTTTTTTAAACTTGTATTTACCAGAAATCAGTGTGAAAGTACCAGGTTCTGCCCACTAGATCCCACTGTTTCCTGCTACTGCCACTACACACTTGTATCCACTTTCCTGGTCTGTTGTGTTTATTAAAAATGGAACACAACATTTTTCTTTGCAACTTTGGGTAGAAAACCAATAGCTTTTGCTCATAAATTGTGAGGTCAAGCCAGTCCTCCATGAAAGCAATTCAGTTTGTCCTTCTCTTAGCAACCTAATGCTTCAACCCAACTCTCCTTGAACAGTCCAACAAGTGGCCTCTCTCATTAGTTATTCCTACGCAATTCTCATATGAATACTTTTTCTACAAGCCCAAAACTTGTGACAACCCTAATCAAATTATAAACCATTGCAAGGCAGTTGTATGTTTTTCAATACAATTATTAGAAAACATCTCTATATTTAGTGTGATTACTGACATTTACCATTAAACCTACCCAGCCCAATACCATTACCCTTGCAAAACACTCTACAGTATGTGTTTGGGACTTTTACAATTGAAACCATGAAGAATTGCTGTAGCCTAATGGTTTGCTTGTTTGCCAGGAATGGTCTAACTAATCCATACCTTTCTTGAAGGGAATAAAACACACACACACACACACACACACACACACACACACACACAGAGGGGCCATTTCCTGGACACAAATTAAGCCTAAGAGAAGGAAAAACTCGCGGCTGAGTCGTGAGGATAACCGCACTATTTATTTTCATGAGCAAAAGCTATTGGTTTTCTACCCAAAGTTGCAAAGAAAATGTTGTGATCCATTTAATAAACACAAGAGACCAGCAAAATGGATAAAAGTATCAGGAACAGCGGCATCTAGTGGGCAAAACTTGGTACTTTCACGCTAATTTATAGTAAATAATGCAAGCGACTTCAATGGCTAATTTCTCTGAACAAAAAAGACTAACGTCACCAGATTCACAGGGAATACATTACAAAGGATGAAGACACAATAGTCCAAGCAGCAGCTCCATACTACTTGTCAAACAGAGACCTGATACTGTATACTGGTTGTTGGGATGGGATTGGCGTGGGATGTGGGGGGTCCGTGGGTGGCTTTTGACCATTTTATTGGATTCCTCATGTCTTACTCACAGTTAGGAAGAATTATGGTCTAAATCGGATGTTAGGTACTATATTTATTGAAGATACGAATCCTATAAATTAAAAAAACAGACAATTTGGGTGCAATCAATTAGCTTAATTTCTCAGAGATCAAATTACACTATATACACAAAAGTATGTGGACACCCCTTCAAATTAGTGGATTTGGCTATTTCAGCCACACCCGTTGCTGACAGGTGTATAAAATCTAGCACACAGCCATGCAGTCTCCATAGACAAACATTGGCAGTAGAATGGCCTTACTGAAGAGCTCAGTGATTATTATGATTAATTGTTTTGTAATTTGACCCCCTTTTTCGTGATATCCAAATTGGTAGTTACGATCTTGTCTCATCGCTGCAACTCCCCAACGGGCTCGGGAGAGGCAAAGGTCGAGTCATGCGTCCTCCGAAACATGACCCGCCAAGCCGCGCTGCTTCTTAACACCTGCTTGCTTAACCCGGTAGCCAGCCGCACCAATGTTTTGGAGGAAACACCATTCAACTGAAGTCAGCTTGCCCGGCCCTCCACAAGGAGTCGCTAGAGCGCGATGAGCCAAGGAAATCCCCCCGGCCAAACCCTCCCCTAACCTGGACGACGCTGGGCCAATTGTGCGCCGCCCTATGGGACTCACGGTCACGGCCGGCTGTGACACAGCCTGGGATCGAACCACATGCAGTAGTGACGTCTCAACACTTCGATGCAGTACCTTAGACCGCTGCGCCACTTGGGAGGCCAAGCTCAGTGACTTTCAACGTGGCACTGTCATAGGATGCCACCTTTCCAACAATCTATTCGTCAAATCTTTTCCCTGCTAGAGCTGCCCCGGTCAACTTTAAGTGCTGTTATTGTGAAGTGGAAACATCTAGGAGCAACAACGACTCAGCCGCGAATTGGTAGGCCACACAAGCTAACAGAACGGGACCGCAGAGCGCTGAAGCGCGTATCACGTAAAAATCGCCTGTCCTCGGTTGCAACACTCACTACCGAGTTCCAAACGGCCTCTGGAAGCAAACGTCAGCACAAGAACTGTTCGTCGGGAGCTTCATGAAATGGATTTTCATGGCCAAGCAGCCGCACACAAGCCTAAGATCACCATGCGCAATGCCAAGCGTCGGCTGGAGTGGTGTAAAGCTCGCTCCCATTGGACTCTGGAGCAGTGGAAACATATTTTCTGGAGTGAGATGAATCACGCTTCACCATCTGGCATTCTGACGGACGAATCTGGGTTTGGCGGATGCCAGGAGAACGCTACCTGCCCCAATGCATAGTGCCAACTGTAAAGTTTGGTGGAGAGGAATAATGGTCTGGGGCTGTTTTTCATGGTTCGGGCTAGGCCCCTTAGTTCCAGTGAAGGGAAATCTTAACGCTACAGCATACAATGACATTCTATACGATTCTGTGCGTTTTTGGCAACAGTTTGGGGAATGCCCATTCCTGTTTCAGCATGACAATGCCCCCGTGCACAAAGCGAGGTCCATACAGAAATGGTTTGTCGAGATCGGTGTGGAAGAACTTGACTGGCCTGCACAGAGCCCTGATCTTAACTCCATCGTACACCTTTGGGATGAATTGGAACGCTGACTGCGAGCCAGGCCTAATCACCCAACATCCGTGCCCGACCTCACTAATGCTCATGGCTGAATGGAAGCAAGTCCCCGCAGCAATGTTCCAACATCTAGTGGAATGCCTTCCCAGAAGAGTGGAAGCTGTTATAGCAGCAAAGGGGAGACCAACTCCATATTAATGCCCATGATTTTGGAATGAGATGTTCGACGAGCAGGTGTCCCCATATTTCTGGTAATGTAGTGTATATTTCAACAGAATAATGTTTCAAGAATGCTAATCTTATCTGTTTTGAACTATACAAATTATTTCAGAACAATCTGAGATGGTGGGTTTTCGAAATCCTATTTCTTGTGCTTATTGAGGTGGAATGACTCCGGCTTGAAATCAAATGCCCATGTAAATGACAACAGTGAAACAGTCTGTGAAAAAGTGCTATAACATGTGTTACTTAGTAACGTTCTAAAACTGGGTGAGCAATCAAATAAAAACTAAAATATTATCTACACCTTATTCCACAGATCTGCCAGTATAATAGAAAAAGAGTATTCTAAACTTTGTGGAATAGGCCTAACTGTTTTAATAAAAGCTATCAAAAATGTCTGGAAAGATCCAAAAGGATGATCTAAAATGCATAAAAATGCGGAAAAGCTACAAAGACTGCCATAAGAAAACGCCAAAAAAATAAAATAATAATATTCATAAAATTACAATTGAGTATTTGTAGACTGTTTGAAGAGTGTAATATGGGAACAAAACCAGGGTTGGGGTCAATTCCATTTCAATTAAGTCAATTCAGGAAGTAAACTGAAATTCCAATTCCAATATATAATCGACTGAATTGAAATGGACCCCAACAAAAGGTCAAAATGTAGACATTAGTGGAGACACCTTACTAGTTTTGAAGGGAGCATTAAGTTTGCTAGCAAAAGCGGTGCGGTAGCTAACCAACTGTAAATAAGTTAATTGTTTCGCCCAACAATTAGCCAGCTAGCTACATTAATTAGCCAGTTAGCTTAAGATATTTACAGGTAGTTAGCAACCGTTCACACACTTTTACTAGCTACATGTCGTGTCAAAAACATATCCCAAAAATGACGAGGTGTCCAGTTGTGATGTCATTTTACCAATTGTGAAAAGCTCTATTTTCCAAGCATTTTACTACATATGAGCTTTACAGCTAGCAACAGTAACTTTAGTAATAACGTTTTCCATATTTCATTTGTAATACAAATTCCAAAATAGTAAATTTCCAACAAAAAAAAGAATCACTCATGATTTAAATTGATTCAATTAGTAAACATTTGCATTATTAATAAAAATAAGAAATGATTGAAGGTAAACTGTGATTGAGGGCTAAGTCCTTACTTGAGATCCGCACACGCAACTCTTTGAAATCAAAGCAAAATGTATGCTTAGTTACATCTTAGTTACGTGTGCAGATGTCAGGTTCGGATTCTGTCCATAAGAAATTATTGTTTGCATGAGTAATAACGAAATAAAAAATAAAAAATGTAGTAATGAATGAAATAATGATTTTCACACATCACCATGTAATAAAGTACAATCGCATCTCATTGCCAAGCTAAATCGATATAGTACCAGATTTCTGAGACAGGAATATTCGACCAGCAATTAATTTGAATACTTTAATATGTATTTATTTATTTTACTAGGCAAGTCAGTTAAGAACAAATTCTTATTTACAATGACGGCCTACACCAGCCAAACCCGGACGACGCTGGGCCAATTGTGCGCCGCCCTATGGGACTCCCAATCACGGCCGGTTGTGATACAGCCTGGAATTGAACCAGGGGGTCTGTAGTGACGCCTCAAGCACTGAGATGCAGTGCCTTAGACCACTGCGCCACTCGGGAGCCCAATACGATCTTGATTATCAAAATAAGTTATGAGTTATGAGGGGGATCAGTACTGAGTGATTTTGCACAACTCCGGAAAAATCTATCTTATTTTGTATGAATAAACCTTAACTTCACTATCAAAACAATAGATTTCACTATATTAGCCAAAAAGCTGATGGATTATTGCAATTTCTTCTCCCAAACACATGAATTATGCTTCTGTCCAAAAACACAATATGTTAAACTAGGGGGACCAACACAAAGTGTCAGAATACATTCATATATTTCCTATTGAAATACACAGAAGGAAATTACAGGATTCCTTTAGAAAAATGAGCAAGGGTTCATCTTTTTTTTTTAAAGATGTGTGTGCGTGTTTGCACATACCATCTAAGAAGCCAGAAGAAGTCAGCTTTTTACGGTGCACGCGAGCATAATCTTGTAGGTTAGGAGCACTGGAGGAAGCCCCGAGCACCATGGTGCTAAAGAGACCAGCGCAATGAGACCCTGGTGGGAGTTAGAGAAGATACATACAACAACCATTTGGTCCACACCATTGGAATGCATGCAGCATGCATGCCTAGGAGATTCTTGCCACAAAAAGACTTTGTGCAGCCTCATAAGAGCATTCACATAATGACAGTAATGTCACTTGGCATGAGGATGGCATTGTGTGTGTGTGTGTGTGTGTGGTGGTGGTGGGGGGGGGGGGGGTGCATTTACATTACATTTTAGTCATTTAGCAGACGCTCTTACCCAGAGCGACTTACAGTTTAGTGAGTGCATACATTTTTCATACTTCTAGCGACTTTTAGGACAGCCAATAGCTACTTTCCTTACTGAGGAGTTGACAACACTGACTATGACTCATTTGTTCCCATTAGAAACGACAGGCTGTGGTCTATCTTGGTTTAGTTGCACAAATATTTGGTTGTCCTGCACTAGAGTGCAAAAACAAAAATGTATATTACCAAAGTTTAGCATGTCTTTGCAGGGGGACTGCCAGTATAATATCATGTTGCTAGGAGAACGGTAATGTCAGCACTGAAGTGTGCAAGTAAATAGTTTTATAACTAACCCATTGTGCTATCTGTGGTGCAAGCTTACAAGCTAGTTAGCTAGAATCTTGTTGCAGCTAATGATAGCTAGCTAAATTAGCTTGTAGCTTGAGGCTATAAACACGTTCATATAGCGATACAATGAATGCTTTTATCTAAAAACAGTGAAAGTGTCTTTACTCCTCAACAACATCTTTGAGCACATCAAAAACTAACTTTTGGGCCGACATTATAGACCTGGGTTAATTGTAAAAACCTTCCTAGGAGCATTGTTCCATCTTCGAGCTGTTTACCAAAACCTTCGTTACTAAAACTTGCACTTGAAAATGCTTGTAAGTTAACGACTGCCTCAGACCACTTGTATGATATTTAAGTGCATTGTTCGATTATTATTATTGCCCTCCCCTACACAACAAATATCTCTGCTAAACATACAGATAAACACTCATTCTATCTGTGCCGCTGATATCTTAAGAACAAAGTTATATACAGTACAAATACAAAGCTAGCAATTGTTACAAACTAGCCAAGCAAGGATAAAAAAACATTAAGCTACATATCAGGCCTACATATTTATATCATATTGAGTTCTAGTTTGCAGGCTTATGTAATTGTGCCTCAATACATTTAACGATGCGTAAAACGTGCGCAATGATGTGCCAAATCTGTGATTTAGTGCATTATCATAGGGTAAGCCATTCGAATAAGCGGACTCGGTATTTGCAGCCACAGGTGATAGTTTCTCCATGAGCTGGTCCGCCGTCATTATTGTGCATTCATTCTAAATGGGAGGTTAAGAATTTGAACGGAGAAAGCTGATCCGAGAGCAGCGCTGCCTTTTTTCGATCCTTTCTGTACTGACACACGCTCCGACAACGCACTTACAGTGTTATTTACATGGTGTTTTGGGTAACGCATGTAAAGAGGCACTTAGCGAGTGTTATCTACTTGGTGTTTTGGGAAACGCATGTAAAGAGGCACTTAGCGAGTGTTATTTACATGGTGTTTTGGGAAACGCATGTAAAGAGGCACTTAGTGAGTGTTATCTACGTGGTGTTTTGGGAAACGCATGTAAAGAGGCACTTAGCGAGTGTTATCTACGTGGTGTTTTGGGAAACGCATGTAAAGAGGCACTTAGCGAGTGTTATCTACATGGTGTTTTGGGTAACGCATGTAAAGAGGCACTTAGCGAGTGTTATCTACTTGGTGTTTTGGGAAACGCATGTAAAGAGGCACTTAGCGAGTGTTATCTACTTGGTGTTTTGGGAAACGCATGTAAAGAGGCACTTAGCGAGTGTTATCTACATGGTGTTTTGGGAAACGCATGTAAAGAGGCACTTAGCGAGTGTTATCTACCTGGTGTTTTGGGAAACGCATGTAAAGATGCACTTAGCGAGTGTTATCTACATGGTGTTTTGGGAAACGCATGTAAAGAGGCACTTAGCGAGTGTTATCTACATGGTGTTTTGGGAAACGCATGTAAAGAGGCACTTAGCGAGTGTTATCTACATGGTGTTTTGGGAAACGCATGTAAAGATGCACTTAGCGAGTGTTATCTACATGGTGTTTTGGGAAACGCATGTAAAGAGGCACTTAGCGAGTGTTATCTACGTGGTGTTTTGGGTAACACATGTAAAGAGGCACTTAGCGAGTGTTATCTACATGGTGTTTTGGGAAACGCATGTAAAGATGCACTTAGCGAGTGTTATCTACATGGTGTTTTGGGAAACGCATGTAAAGATGCACTTAGCGAGTGTTATCTACATGGTGTTTTGGGAAACGCATGTAAAGAGGCACTTAGCGAGTGTTATCTACATGGTGTTTTGGGAAACGCATGTAAAGAGGCACTTAGCGAGTGTTATCTACATGGTGTTTTGGGAAACGCATGTTACAGCTTCTTCGGTCGTTATGAACAATGCATCGTTAGAACATTCGTAAAAGCCTAACTTCCAACGCTAGTCGGGAAACCTGACCCAGGTCACTGCAAGTTAATAACTATGTACTGTCCTCTAACCATTAGGCTATTATACAGTTACTACGTATCTTGATAACTGTCATTTTCATTGCACAGCTAATTATGACTATACCCAGACAAACTACTAACTACTAGATACCGTCACAAATAATACGATCAAATTAAAGAGAAATAAATAAATAACACAATTCAAACATAATAATAAATAGTTTGTAATATCAAACTTTGTATCACTTTAGTAAACAAAGATAAGACTCAAGATAAAAGTGAATGAAAAGAATGAATGTGTAGGACAGCCATATCTAAAATGGTAGCCATCAACAAATCCCAAATATTCTGCTAAGAATTTGCTGTGGCGACAACATTTTAGGTCACTAAGGACATTACCAGCATGTATGAGAAATTGAGTCAGCACTGTATTAGTTGTGTGGCAAAAATCTTTGTCTAAAGTATGCTTAACAGCTTGTATTACTTGCTCAAACAAGCTCCACATCACAGATTTAGTAATTGATCATTCAGTGTGAAGAGAGCAGCCAGTGCATTATACTTCAGGTGCTTGAGACTCCGTCAACACAAAGCAAAGACTTGAGATGCAGCAGAAAACATACAGTACAGAACAAATCCGACATCCTAAAAAGTTACTTCCAATATTTGCCCTCACATTGATGTTGCGCTAAAGTAATGTGAGGACACTAAAACATTTGAAAACTAGGGATATAATGAAACATCTAATCACATTCTTTTAAAATATAGAATTTTCATATTTAAACATTTCTTAATAATATAACGTGATAAATGGGGGCAAATTTGTTTCAAATGTCCTAAAAGTGGTGATTATGCTTACCTACTCCCGGGGTGAGTTTGTGTTCAGAGTATAGTCTACCAGGTCGCTGTGCATGGGCATTGTTCTCTGACAGAACCTTGAGGAGAAAAAATTACAATATTACCACATTTCACTGAAACTCCACAACCTTACTGAAACAGATGCCTTTTTTTCTGGACAGAAATGTTAATAAGCAGCACTGGGAAATGTTAGTGCAGACGCCAACAAAGACTAATCAGCAGAAGAAAAGAAAGATGGAACATGCAACATCCCCATGGCCACACAGAGACCACGCCACGTGAGAGGTTGGTAATTACACAGCGGGTGAGAGAGTAGCAGGAATTGAGGGATGAGGGTGAGAGTGTTGCAGGAGTTGAGGGATGAGGGTGAGAGAGATGCAGGAGTTGAGGGATGAAGGTGAGAGTGTTGCAGGAGTTGAGGGTATGAGGGTGAGTAGGATGAGAGTGCAGGAGTTGAGGGATGAGGGTGAGAGAGATGCAGGAGTTGAGGGATGAGGGTGAGAGAGATGCAGGAGTTGAGGAGATGAGGGATCGGAGTTGAGAGATGAGGAGAGAGGTGAGGGATGGAGGGTGAGAGAGATGCAGGAGTTGAGGGATGAGGGTGAGAGTGTTGCAGGAGTTGAGGGATGAGGGTGAGAGAGATGCAGGAGTTGAGGGATGAGGGTGAGAGAGTGAGGAGTTGAGGATGAGGTGAGAGAGATGTGAGGAGTGAGGGATGAGGAGTGGAGAGATTCAGGAGTTGAGGGATGAGAGGCGAGTGAGGATGAGAGATGCAGGAGTTGAGGGATGAGGGTGAGAGAGATGCAGGAGTTGAGGGATGAGAGAGATGCAGGAGTTGAGGGTGAGGGTGAGAGAGATGCAGGAGTTGAGGGATGAGGGTGAAGGGTGAGAGAAGATGCAGGAGTTGAGGGATGAGGGTGAGAGAGATGCAGGAGTTGAGGGATGAGGGTGAGAGAGATGCAGGAGTTGAGGGATGAGGGTGAGAGAGATGCAGGAGTGAGGGATGAGGGTGAGAGAGTGCGAGGAGTGGAGGAGGTTGAGGGATGAGGGTGAGAGGATGCAGGAGTTGAGGGATGAGGGTGAGAGAGATGCAAGTGAGTTGAGGGATGAGGGTGAGAGAGATGCAGGAGTTGAGGGATGAGGGTGAGAGAGATGCAGGAGTTGAGGGAGTGGAGGAGGGTGAGGATAGGAGAGAGATGCAGGAGTTGAGGGATGAGGGGGGTGGGTGAGAGAGATGCAGGAGTTGAGGGATGAGGGTGAGAGAGATGCAGGAGTTGAGGGATGAGGGTGAGAGAGATGCAGGAGTTGAGGGATGAGGGTGAGAGAGATGCAGGAGTTGAGGGATGAGGGTGAGAGAGATGCAGGAGTTGAGGGATGAGGGTGAGAGAATGCAGGAGTTGAGGATGAGGTGGGAGATGAGAGAGATGCAGAGTGAGGAGATGGGTGAGATTTTGATGGTGAGAGGATGCATAGTGAGGGATGAGGGTGAGAGGATGCAGGAGTTGAGGGAGGGTAGAGGATGATTGAGGGTGAGGGGAGAGATGCATGAGTTGAGAGGATGAGGGTGAGAGAGATGCAGGAAGGGAGTGAGTGGAGGGCAGGAGTGAGGGTGAGAGAAGATGCAGAGTGAGGGATGAGGGTGAGAGAGATGCAGGAGTTGAGAAATTAGGGTGAGAGATGCAGGAGTTGAGAAATTAGGGTGAGAGATGCAGGAGTTGAGGGATGAGGGTGAGAGAGATGCAGGAGTTGAGGGATGAGGGTGAGAGAGATGCAGGAGTTGAGGGATGAGGGTGAGAGAGATGCAGGAGTTGAGGGATGAGGATGGACATGGCAACAGAAAACAATCAAGACTGCACAACTTTAACCAAGATACACATTACACACGTGTCAAAACAAAAGGTCAAAGTGAAGACAAAACATGAAGAAGAAAGAAGTTGAGGGTTTTGGTGTTCTCATTTTCCTTTCCAAGATGTTAATATCACCGTTTCGTGCACGGACAAAGAAAACGAGACAAACTTGAAATGAGCGGATCCTCTGCCCCTTTTTTTTTTTTTTGGGGTGAAGGGAGGTAGAGGTGGAGTGGGGCGGACCTCACAGCAGGATCCTGGTCTGGGTCAGTGGGTTGAAGACCATGAGCACACTATGAGCCCATTCTCACACCTCACAGAGCTCACCTGGAGGGCCGGGGAGGGTAACCCCTGTCTAGTAAGGCAGCAGACCCTCCTTAGTGACTACCATCAACCAGGCTCCATAGAGAAAACACACATTACAGTAAGTGGTGCTTTTATATTGAATTTATTTTACCCTTATTTTACCAGGTGAGTTGACTGAGAACATATTCTCATTTACAGCAACGACCTGGGGAATAGCTACAGGGGAGAGAGGGGGGGGGGGGGGGGGGGGGATGAATGAGCCAATTGGAAGCCTCTTCTAGCACAGCTGCTGTGAGGGTCTGTTCAACCCCTTGGAGAGCTGGCCTAGCCGACTGAGTTTGGCTGAGAGACTGTGAGGGTCTGTTCAACCCCTTGGAGAGCTGGCCTAGCCCGACTGAGTTTGGCTGAGAGACTGTGAGGGTCTGTTCAACCCCTTGGAGAGCTGGCCTAGCCGACTGAGTTTGGGCTGAGAGACTGTGAGGGTCTGTTCAACCCCTTGGAGAGCTGGCCTAGCCGACTGAGTTTGGCTGAGAGACTGTGAGGGTCTGTTCAACCCCTTGGAGAGCTGGCCTAGCCGACTGAGTTTGGCTGAGAGACTGTGAGGGTCTGTTCAAACCCCTTGGAGAGCTGGCCTAGCCGACTGAGTTTGGCTGAGAGACTGTGAGGGTCTGTTCAAACCCCTTGGAGAGCTGGCCTAGCCGACTGAGTTTGGCTGAGAGACTGTGAGGGTCTGTTCAACCCCTTGGAGAGCTGGCCTAGCCGACTGAGTTTGGCTGAGAGACTGTGAGGGTCTGTTCAACCCCTTGGAGAGCTGGCCTAGCCGACTGAGTTTGGCTGAGAGACTGTGAGGGTCTGTTCAACCCCTTGGAGAGCTGGCCTAGCCGACTGAGTTTGGCTGAGAGACTGTGAGGGTCTGTTCAAACCCCTTGGAGAGCTGGCCTAGCCGACTGAGTTTGGCTGAGAGACTGTGAGGGTCTGTTCAACCCCTTGGAGAGCTGGCCTAGCCGACTGAGTTTGGCTGAGAGACTGTGAGGGTCTGTTCAAACCCCTTGGAGAGCTGGCCTAGCCGACTGAGTTTGGCTGAGAGACTGTGAGGGTCTGTTCAACCCCTTGGAGAGTGGCTTGGCCTAGCCGACTGAGTTTGGCTGAGAGACTGTGAGGGTCTGTTCAACCCCTTGGAGAGCTGGCCTAGCCGACTGAGTTTGGCTGAGAGACTGTGAGGGTCTGTTCAACCCCTTGGAGAGCTGGCCTAGCCGACTGAGTTTGGCTGAGAGACTGTGAGGGTCTGTTCAACCCCTTGGAGAGCTGGCCTAGCCGACTGAGTTTGGCTGAGAGACTCGTGATGGTGTCACCTCTACACCAGTGAGATAAAGAGTTTCTCTGAAAATCTCTCAAATGCCAGTCAGAGGCAAATGTACATAAATTGTCCTTCGTTGTATGTTTGACCAGTCTAATGATGTACAGTAGGGTATACCCTATACGATATAGTTCTACTAAATGACATCAGTGTGAAGTAAATGTAGACGGTTAGATACTGTACAGACGGTGTGATGAAGACATTTAAAGTGCCGCCACACATACAGCCATAATATAATACATACTATTATAATATACAATAAACTATAATACATAATATTATAATATACAATATTCTATAATACATATAATAATAATATACAGTACATTCCGAAAGTATTCAGACCCCTTGACCTTTTCCACATTTTGTTACGTTACAGCCTTATTCTAAAAATAGATTAAATTGTTCGTTTTTTTTCCCTCAATCTACACACAATAACCCATAATGACAAAGCAAAAACAGGTTTTTAGAAATGTTCGCACATTTATAAAAATAATGAAATAACAAATTTACATAAGTATTCAGACCCTTTACTCAGTACTTTGTTGAAGCACATTTGGCAGCGATTACAGCCTCGAGTCTTCTTGGGTATGACGCTACAAGCTTGGCACACCTGTATTTGGGGAGTTTCTCCCATTCTTCTCTGCAGATCCTCTCAAGCTCTGTCAGGTTGGATGGGGAGCGTCGCTTTTTTTTGGTACCCTTCCCCAGATCTGTGCATCGACACAATCCTATCTCGGAGCTCTACAGATAATTCCTTTGACCTCATGGCTTGGTTTTTGCTCTGACATGCACTGTCAACTGTGTGACCTTATATAGACAGGTGTGTGCCTTTCCAAATCATGTCCAATCAATTGAATTTACCACAGTTGGACTCCAATCAAGTTGTAGAAACATCTCAATGGAAACAGGATGCACCTGAGCTCAATTTCGAGTCTCATAGCAAAGGGTCTGAATACTTCAGTAAATAAGGTATCTATTTTTTATTTATTTGCAAAAAAAATTGCTTTGTCATTATGGGGTATTGTGTGCAGATAATCAATTTTAGAATGAGGCTGTAACGTAACAAAATGTGGAAAAAGGGGTCTGAATACTTTCCGAATGCACTGTATAATATACTATAATACATACTATAATATAATACATACTACTATAATGTTCTATAATACATACTATTATTGATCACTGCTATAATTGAAAGCTATTGCTTTTCTATATATATATATATATATATATATATGATTTAGTGTCAACCTTTGACCTGCTTTAAATATTCACACTGCATTTCCCCTATATAGGATGACTTCCATGGCCCTATCGTTAATATAATCTGGTCAAAAGAATTGGTCAAAAGTATAAAATACAGCCAATTTCACATTAAAATCGGGTGGTTTCCATTTGGCAAATGGGACAAGAAATGTAGTTGAAATAGCCTGCTCTACATTTCATTTGTGCAAAGCATTAGAAACAAGTGTGTTAAGTTGCATCGCAGCCAAGCTGGGCCAATGTTCTTGGAGGCACAAGCGGCAGGCAACCTTAGGACGGACATCCCACCCCAAACAGATCTCCAAAATCTGCATGTTAGTCACACTAGCCACTCTGATAATGGCCCAGATTATTGTTCAAATTCTCACTCAACAGCAAAACCGAGTGAGTCGCGAAGGACAGCTAATGTCTGTTTCAGCAGATGAATATAAAGAGTGGTCTTTACCTAGTCTCTTAGATGGGATTAAAAACAACGTCACCAAACCGTGCTGACAGACTGGTTCAGTTATGGCTTTCCATGTTGACAGAAGGTGAAAGTGCATGACAAAAGCAGGACATACATTCTGGTGTTTCAAATATTTCACACAAACTCTTTGCTCAAGTTATGAATGAGTGAATGAATATTTGGTGTAAATGCTTTAGGTTAATAAAAACAAATGTGTTTCATGTCACGGACAGTTTTAACTATACATCGTACTTGGCGATACCAATATAGTGGAATATATTTCACTCAGCCATAATTGAAGAGTCCATGAGCAGGTATTAACTAAAATAAATATGATGTAAAAAAAAAATCCAAAAAAACTAAAACCAACAAAATATTTATCCGGGGTACAATGACAAAACAGGGGGAAACCTCAACAAAGATGAAACCAGGGAGAGAGCCACAGACAGTGTCTCTTTAGCTGGTTGGCGCTAAGCGCTTTTAAAAAGTTTTTGTAAAACTGTCTAGGTGCACCTCTAGTAGACATTGTGGCCACATTGTGAGGAAAGTGTGAATTCCACCAAGGCAGCAGAGCAACAATGTCAGTTGCAAAAACAAAAAAAAAGAAATACAGTGGAAAATGAGTATCCCATAGCCAGCAATCTTTGAATTGCAATGCTATTACAATGGAAGACACTAAAAGCTAAAATGATTGTGTTAGAGTTAACATCTTCACTGTATGGACCCAATGAGCCAAATGACCCCAAAAAAATTAGACAAAAAGGAATCATTCTTCACAGGATCATTTAGCCCTTAAAAAAAAATTATGAACAAAATGGCACACATTTTTTAAAATATATGAATGGGGGTAAAAATGGTGTCTTTACATTAATCTGCTGATTAGGTGTCCTTGCTGACTGCAGCAGTGTTTTTAAGTGCGCATGAACAAGAGTAGGTGTCATCTGTTTGTGTGGATAATAAATTAAAATGGGTAAAAACCTGTTGCCATGAGCCAAAAATACTGGATGTGAAAGCCAGTGATTTGGGGGAGACAGGGGAGGAAGTGATTTGGTCCCCTGATCTGCGTCTTCGACGCCCAGTACCAACACCACAGGTGTAATGAAGCCAGTTACCAATAGAGTCAGGGTTAGACACACTCAGGGGGCTCTCTTCCTGGAAGTGAGAGAGAGGGGGGCAAAAACAGCACAGTCATGCAACATTACAAAAAAAAAAAACAGTCCCCAGCTAACGTATGTGTGTGTCCCATCAACATTCACAAGTAGGACCTTTTTTTTTTTTTAGTTTGTTTGGGTTTTGGTATAATGTATCGTCATACTTTGCCGGCTGCGGTCTTGATAAAGTCTGGCTGCAATGGGGACTAAAAGGAAAGCAACAAAGAAAAGAAAAAGAGAAACAAATCAATGTAAATCGCAATTGTTAAATTCTCCATTTACGGTTCATATTGATGTTCAAGTCAATTCTGTGCTCCTGGCACAAGTTGGTCGATCAGCTAATTATCAATCAATGAATACATTTTAAAGTAAATGTAGCTCAGGGCAACTTTAGCTGATGTGTGCAGACTATTCTCTCAGCATTAGTGTCAGCATACAGCTGGTGTAATGTATTAAGTCAAGTTAAAATCATCTAACAGTGTACTGCCAACACCATGTGATACTGTGGGTTAGACACAACATTCACTATAATACTGTGGGTTAGACACAACATTCACTATAATACTGTGGGTTAGACACAACATTCACTATAATACTGTGGGTTAGACACAACATTCACTATAATACTGTGGGTTAGACACAACATTCACTATAATACTGTGGGTTAGACACAACATTCACTATAATACTGTGGGTTAGACACAACATTCACTATAATACTGTGGGTTAGACACAACATTCACTATAATACTGTGGGTTAGACACAACATTCACTATAATACTGTGGGTTAGACACAACATTCACTATAATACTGTGGGTTAGACACAACATTCACTATAATACTGTGGGTAAGGGACAATATTCACTATAATACTGTGGGTTAGACACAACATTCACTATAATAATGTGGGTAAGGGACAATATTCACTATAATACTGTGGGTGAGGGACAATATTCACTATAATACTATTAGTCAAAAGACAAACAGTGATAGTTGCTTTTGTAATACATACCCCGACACCCAGCAGTATTACATTTACATTTTAGTAATTTAGCAGACGCTCTTATCCAGAGCGACTTACAGGAGCAATTAGGGTTAAGTGCCTTGCTCAAGGGCACATTGACAGACAATTTCACCTAGTCGGCTCAGGGATTCGAACCAGCGACCTTTCGGTTACTGGTCCAACGCTCTAAACCGCTAGGCTAACTGCCGCCAGGTATTACAATGTAATCAACAATTAGAGTTTAAAATATACTCTTGTTTGAGTTGATTTTAACACTTACACAAGTGTAAAGTGAATGCAACAATAACCAGTGTTGGTCAATATACATTTTCAACTATTTCAAACTCTGTGAAAGTACAGAAAGTGTAATATAAGCTCTGTGTAGTGTGGGACAATATGGACACTGGGTGTTGAATTAACATTTGCAATGTTGCTGTGTAACTGGTGAATTTGAAACATAAGGGTTGTTGTTCGGCAAAAGTGATGGTACACGCTGCTCGCAGAACATTTCTTTGTGATCTGAAGGAGACAAACTGTTAAATATATATTTTGCACTCTTATGCACATGCAAGGTGTAATGTGGTGATGTGACTTAGTGCATTACTGAAGTATGGGCAATGGCGATTAGAGGGTACAGTAAATATGAATTTAGCTAAATACTCAATCCAAGTCCAGCAAATAACTTTGACTTCTAGACCTTTAAAAAAAAAAAAATTGTAATAATTTACATTATTACTTATAACCTGAGTGACTGCATCAAGCTGAATGTTATAAAGATATAAAGTGTAGAATGCAGATTATAATATTTTTTATACAAACGTGTTTGTGACCACCACTTCTTGAGATAAAAAAGTGAAAATTGATTAGTTTTTACAACATTTTCAAAAGATCAGTAGAAGTTACCATGCACTCACCACACTCACAAACATACAGCAATGTTTTGTGTGTGTGTGGGTGGGTACACAGAAATAGATTTCAATGTCACATTCAAAATCAATTCAATATATCAACCTGAATATACAGACATACTAATCATACAATAATCTGTAAATTGCAAGCCAAAGACGTTGAAGATGCAGACCAAAACATCAAGTTGCAAATTACAGGCAACAACCTTCAGAGGTGAGTTTGCTGAAAGTTTCATCGCTAACGTGGCACTTCATTTCTCTCAACGACCAAGGTCCACGCCACTTTTAGAATAGCGAAGTGCGTCCTTTGAGGTAATTTTGTGCGTTCATGCAAAGATACATTTTACAATTGTTACTTTCTCGCGGCTGGGCTATCGAGAGAAATAACGTACTCACACCAGCATTGTTTTGAGACCTTAAAAATCCCTCCTTGTTCTAAGTGTAATGGTATATCACTGTAACAAGTAACACAGTAAGCTTAAATTCCAAAGGTGTCTGGTGACTAGTCATGTGACCCTTTACAGGCACACATTGTTATATTCTGTTGCATAGCTCTGCTGTAAACATACAACACTACACAGTACTAACCCAACTATTCATTCAAGGCAATGACATGCAAGAGCAGTACCACTAACCAGGCATTTTTTTATCACCTACGTAGCTAGCATGTGACTACTGTAGAGTACATCTGTCTTTCCGACTCTAAGCTCTACGCTTATATACAGTCCATCCTGTATACCACCTGTGTATTCTGAACTGGACCTGAAAGGTGGCACTTACTTCCACAGAGCCAATCTTTTTGGAGCGGGGCAGCGGGCACTTCCTGTTGATGTAGATGGGTTCAGACACCAGGGGCCTGAACATCATTAGGGCTGCTCGGTCCGGCTCGTCCCGCTTGGCGGCGGCCGACTCCTCGTCGTTGTCTTCCTTAGACTTCTTCTTTGATCCCTCGTTCTAGAGATGACAGGGATACAGTTGGTAGAACGTTAAGTATAAGGGAAAGGAAGGTTACGGTCCACTTTAATCATGAGACAAAGAAATACATTATATTTCTGATTTCCCGAGGTCTAGAAAAGACCAGGAATTCCAGATTAATCCGAAAAAAAGCACACAATGGAGTTAAAAAAACAGGGTATAGGCCCATTCATGTTGCGTCTAAGTTTAACTACTTCCTGTCAAGATGTGAGTAAGCCGAATACTAATATTAACTACACAACTCACACTCATAATAAAACACTTTTAACCTCAATAAGCTTTTCTATGATATTTTTCCCCAGTAACTACATCAGCATTCACCATATGCCACCCATAAAAGTGGTTGCACACTTCTACAAAAAGACCTTCATTGTATCTAATAACAAACATGGTTTCTTCAGAGACCGGGACCCCCTTACCTCTCGAGAGGCTGGTCTGTAGCCGAACCCAGAGGGTAGGTTCTTGTCGTCCTCACAGCCCTTGGCTCCCGGGCTGAAATGCAGCTCCACGTGGAAGCGCTCCTCAGACGAGGGGTCCTAGAGTAATGATACAATGGTGTGCTGGTGATAATAGGATGGCAGGCAGCCTAGCGTGTGTTGGACCAGTAACCGAAAGGTTGCTAGTTTGAATGCCCGAGCCGACAAGGTGAAAACAATCTGTTGCTGTGCCCTTGAGCAAGGCAATTAACCCTAATTTGCTACAGGGTAGCTGTTGAAAATGGCAGACCCTGGCCGTGACCCCACCCTCCGAGGAGAAGTTGGGATATGCAAAAAAAACATTTCCAATTCACACATACGTATAATACATACTTGTACATGTGTGAAATAGGACAAATATAAGCTCCCACCAAATTATATATATATATTTATTTATATATTACTTTCAGGTGTTATCCTCAAAAACATATCACAGAACAGTTAGAGATGAAAGCGCCTCGTTACCTCTATGACCCATAATACCGAGCGCCAAAACAACCCATACTACATTGGCAACATTAGTATGACCATTACGTCTGCCTCAGGTTTCATCCTGAAGTACATCTGTAAATAGACATGAAAGAGGTCTATCCTATATCGTCTATGGAAAAAAAACTCCAACAATCCCACTTACAGCGGCTGTGTGATGACTTGGAAATGAGGGTGTTGGTAATAAATGAGGGTGTTGGTAATAAATAGGGTGTTGGCTGGTATCAGCACCTATAACTTCTGGGTGCTAGTTAATATAACCAACAACCCACAGGCATAGACTTGGACCTTACAGTACCTTGTTAGGGTCCTCGTAAAGCATGATTACAATCTGTGTCATGTAGTTGAGCTCGCTGACCACCTTGAGGTACTCCATGGCCCTCTTCCATTGGTCATCTTTGGTCTCCTGGGATATGAGCAACAGTTAAACGTGGGATTCAGACATATTTAAAGACATATTAAAAAGAGCATTTTCTGGTTAAAATGCGGTTACATTTGGTAGACAAAAATAGAATATATGACTGTAAAAAAAAAAAACGTGACATATCATACTAATACATATATGCACTATACATTAATGTTTGGTGGATTCTAATGGCCTTTAAACGGGTTAAATAGATACAATACAGAAATGTAACAGTATGGAAGTTCAGGACCAATGTCAGAGAGGACTCACGTCACAGAAGGCTCCGTAGCGGAGGATGGAGAGCAGGGAGTGCACGTGGCTCTCACTGGTGAAGTACAGCCTGGTCCTGACATGGCGCTCCGGGGACATCACCCCACGGGAGTACCTGGACAACACACATGGCAGAACTGCAATTGTATTTCATAGGGAGACCAATACGGATACTGCTCTGAGGACGCCGACTCCACGTGTTAAGGGAAATGGAGATGGGGTGTGTGTGTGTGTGTGTGTGTGTGTCTTACACAGGGTGCAGTTTGTTGACGGTGTCGTCGTCCTGTGTCCTCTGCAGGTCGGAGCGGATCTTGCGAATGAGGGGGGTGCAGTAGCCCTTGGCGATATCCAGCTTCTCAGGTTGAGCGATACCATACTCCTGATGGGACAGGGGTGCAAAAAAGATACCATGTTTTTAGAACATCGCCATTTCAACAAGAGCATAACATTCTGGCCACTAAAACAAATGTCCCTTTAATCAAACAACGATTACTAGTCTATCTGGTGACACTATAAGATATGTAAGCTGTATATCTATAAGGAGAATGTAATAGGGGCTGCCACTCTAAATGCTTCGATCACTCCAAACTTCACCACGATGTACGGTGAGTATACTGGTCCTGTACGTCTGCTGTGCATCACTGTAAAGTCTTTGTGAAATGGCGGCAGCTACAAAAATGCTAATCGTAAAATCTTTGCTCCAAACCCGAACATACCTGTGGAATGACGATGTCGGCCAGGGCCTTGGACAGGCGGTAGATCTCCATGGTGTTGGTCAGGTTGAGGGAGCTGTTGTGCTGGACGTCGTACTTGATGCAGTCGTAAATGTCGGGGATCTTGCTGATGTTGTAGCGACCGTTCTTCATCCGGAAGTCTTTCTCCAGCTTGGCCCAGCGCCGCAGCATCAGGTCCAGGGTCTCGCTGTGGTACAGCTGGATGTCTAGAAAGTAGTGTTTTCAAATGTACATTACACTATAGGTGCAGGACAGAAAGGTATGACTTTTTTTTTTTCTTTTTTTTTTTTACTGTTAAAAGTCATGCATACAAATACTGCAACTACCACATTTAGTGACATTTTGATCAAAACATAATTAAAAATGTAGTCAAAAAATGTTGTAAACAATTTTTGTATGGAGGGAATTATATTGTGTCTTTCATTATATAGCGTCTTTCATTCATATTGCAATAACTTACAGACATCGTGGTAAAATATGGTGCAAATTAGGTATGAGGAATGTCAAATAATGAATAAGAAAAGGGTCAAAACTACTTTATTTAGTAACTGTGATTATCAGTGTAATCTACTTTCATCTGGTACATACATTTCACTGAGTATATGTTACATTAACATTCATGTGTCATCATTACCAATGATTTATATAAACCCTGTACTGCTGATGTATTTGCCAATGAGAGGCTTTGAAGCCACTGGTCGGCCATCTTGTCACTCCCCAGTAGGAGCAGTCCTCCATAGGAATGGATGGAATTCCACAGTATTTCAAGGACTAATTGACATGTTTTTAAGTATGTTTTTGGTGTAGTGGTGACAGTAACATTAACTTTCAAAAAGTTATGCTTTAACAGATTTGTTTTATATATTTTGTGTCTACAAAATGTCTACATTTGTTTAGCACACATAATATAATGTAAATGTATGCATTAAGGTGTCTGTCATTTAATAAATGTGGCAAAAACAAATGTAGACATTAATAAATGCATTTCTATAGCTTACAAAATATGTTTTACAACGGTGTGGGAGTACCAAGATGGAGGTGCAGTGTCTTCAAAACAGCGCCCCCTACCAGTCATCTAGTGTATATACACACATCATTAGTCATTACATATGTTGTCTTTTAATTTCATCAAGGTCACGTGACGACCGAAACATCATATACATTTAGTCAAAATACAGTGACTGACAACCCATTTTTTCTATGGAGGGAGTGTTATGGTTTTCATTCATACTCAGTGAGTGGGATGCGCCTTAGAATCCAAACCAGATATAATCAAGGTGTCCATTTCCTCATCCATCACTAACCTCACATTAAAGCCCCTTGTTGCTCCAAATCAGAGCTCTGGCTTTCAATTCAAGCCATCGACTCAGTGACCCACGATAACCCTTCTGACAGAGAGACCTGTGACCACACTTAATGATGGATCTTAAAATGGGGTTTCAGAGCAAAGTTTGGGGGAGCATCCCAAATGGTACCTTATTCCCTACAGTGCCCTGTGGGCCCTGGTCTAAGGTGGTGCACTAAAAAGGGTATAGTGTGCCATTTGGAACGCAGCCCAGGAGTTCATTCCTTTCAATGGGGATCTTTGCTGGAGATGTGAACCGGAGTGTTTACCAGCTGACTTGGGCTCCTCCATCCTCTGTCTGATCTGCAGAGTGAGGCTCTGGATTAGGGCGTACACCTTGTCACACGTCTTCACCGGGTTCTTGATCATCTGCATGGACTTGATCAAGGAGGAGCTGGTGGTGGGTGCCAGCTGGGGAACAGAAAGACAAATACTATGAGCACTAGGAAGGGAGGAAATATTAGGGATGGTGCAGACAAAAATCACACTGACATTGAAGGACCCACAGTCAGAGACAGTATTTTACACATCTCTGAGCCATGTCAGCGTACGCATCCTGCTTGGACTCTTTCATTAGGACTAGAAAAAAAATGGGACATTGGACGTTTTCAGAAAGAATCTTTCAGCGAGAATCTATTTACAACAGTAGACCATCTACTTATAATGATCAAACGCCAACGTATATTTTGTCACCGAGTGGCTTTCTCCACAGCCCATATCAGTCACAATAGTCACAGACCAAATGGATAGGACAGAACTTAGGCTGCATCATTTAGTCCCAACCTTCTCGTAATCTTCGGCGGTGAAGTCTCTGTCTCTCTGCAGGATCTCGTGGAGGCGGGCCTTGACGCGCTGCTGGCAGCTGCTGAGAGAGTCGCTGTCGCTGTCCAGTAGCCCGTTCATGTTGGCACTCTTCACCATCTGCACCAGGATTGGCGTCAGCTCGCCCTCCAGTGCCAGCAGACCCTAAATGGATGCCACCAGATATATTTACATTGACATTTTAGTCATTTAGCAGACGCTGGAGCGACTTACAGGAGCAATTAGGGTTAAGTGCCTTGCTCAAGGGCAGAACGACAGATTTTCACCCAGCCGGCTTGGGGATTCAAACCTTTCGGTTACTGGCCCAACGCTCTTAACCACTAAGCTATGTATTATAACTTGACTGACTGACTAACGGGACAAGACAACATTCTTAAAAATACATTTCATTCCAAAAATAATGCGTGTCAGATGTTTTTCTTTAGACCTCAAAAGTAGACTAATTTTGAGATACATCCACATTTCAGATCATCTGTTGAGTAGATCCAGATATGCCTCAATCCAAAATTAATGGAAAAGGTAAGTGCCATTAGATTTCCAGATTTTATTCTGTGATGATATTTTCCATTCATTTGGGGTAGAGGCAAACAGCTGGATCGGCTCAACCAATGGTATGGGACATGGATTTATCTTGACAATAGACTTGTTTTTTGGTCTGAAAACATCTGACCAACTTTCATTTTGGGAGTGAAATGTCTCTAAAAAACCTGCACGGTCAGACAGACCTTAGCGAAGGCAGCAGCGGTCATCTGAACACGTCCCTCGTCGGAGGCGTAGATCTTCAGGTCGTGTCTGTAGGTGCTGTGGAGACGCAGCAGGCCACACCCTGGGAACCCTGCGTAGTCGCCTGGAAAATACCAAATCAGCTTTGACACATCAGTGTGCATCTGTGAGGACGTCCACTGCTTTAACATTTAGGTGTTGAGTGGATAGACGTTGTTACCTTGTCCTCCAGGGTACATACAGCGGAAGGCCCTCCCCAGCTCCTCAGCCTGTACCCTGCCTGCCGGGGTCAGCTCCCCGCCCCACTTCAACACCAGCAGCAGAGAGGGGTCATCCCTACGCACGTCTATTGGGCACAGCAACCACAGACAACACGGAGAGATACACACATAATGAGCCAGTAAATCACAGGAGAACCACACACACACACAATCAGTTCATAGACTAGAGAGAACATTTGATATAAAGGCCACATGATAGAACAAATCCTACCTTCTTCCTCACTGGATGTTTTGGGGCACCCATTTGGAAGGTAGGTCATCTGAACCTTGCGATTGATGCCAGAAAAATGCCCATACCTAAAGCAAAACACCAAAACACATTTTGTTGTAAGAGCAGTTTGTTAAATCAAATACTAAATAGTTGGGAATGTGCAGTAACGTATACATTTCAAGGACTGTTTTCAGTTGTTCAAGTTTTGCTTTAGATTCTTCGATTTCGGAATCGTTGTTCTGTCCGATTTCGACCAGGAGTTGTCTGGCGATATCAAGGACTTCCTGGATTTGGAAATAAACAAATGAGATGCAGGTAAGTTGTACTGTCCAACACATGATGAAGCTACAACGTGAAAAGGACACAAATAGGTATTATTTACCTGTAATTGCTTTGGCTTTTTCAACTTTAGTTTTTTGTTTTTGTACCCGCCACATTTTTCAAATAGATCAAAAAACCTAAAAGAGGCGATACATTACAGTGATGAAAACATTCCATTTACCAATACTGAAGCACCATTTTAACAGTACTGTAGTTTGATAGTAGCCCTGTACACATTGACTGTGTGAACAGGTGTCATGTACCTCTGGTGCCGAACCTCCATTTTCATTTTCTGTTTGGGAGTTCTGTCGCCATGACGAATCACAGCGATAACACACCGTAGCTCCATCCTGAGTTAAGAGTGTCAACAGTTAAGAATATCAACTTACCTTATGAGCGGAGTTTAGCCACTTTCTATGCATTGCTGGCTAAATCCTATTGAGATGTGCGCTTATCTTTTCGCTTCATTTAAAATGTATGCAATTATGTCAATGGAGGATATTGTAGGAACATTTGAGTTACGCGCATGAAAGTCAAGTTGGGGCCTAAAAGTGCACCAATTTACGGCAATATACGGCTACATTTGCTATGGCTAAACAGCTATATCCACTATGAATGCATCATCAAAATGTGTGTAAGTACGCACATGGTTCCAGAGGTGGTGGGGACGATGGGGATATCTTCAGCCTCCAGAGGTATGGACCATGGGATAGAAAACTGGGGAGCCAGCTCTCTCATGATGATGTTTCTACAGAAGTATGAAAAAATAATAATAATAGGGGAAAAAAATGTATGCACTCACTAACTGTAAGTCGCTCTGGATAAGAGTGTCTGCTAAAATGACTAAAATGTAAAATGTAAGTTCAAGGACAAAGCACTTTGGTAACTACTTGAAGCTGCTTTTTATTAAGTGATGTATTGGGTTTTATTAGTGCTGCATTGCCTAATACATATATTCATCTTAAATAGGCTGTTTATGACCATTGTGAATCTGTATAATAGGGATGTGAATCTTTCCCTTTCCAGACGATTCGATACGGAAATAGATCTAGATACATGGGCTCCGATATGATACAGGAATGATACGTTTTAGTTTGAAACGAATCGATGCGATTTGTTCGATGCACTAACATTTGTTGCATAAACACATTAATATTCCATTCTAAATTAAAATCTGCAAAAACAAATGATTTTCAACCGTTTGGAAGTTTTTAGTGAGATTATTTTATCCTCCCGATTTGGCCATGCAGTGCACCTCGCAAAGTGATTGCCGTCTTCGTTATGAAATTATTAACTTGACCTTGTAATATAAAAAAATTACCATATACACTGATTGTTTAAAGCAAAACTACCAAAACTATTGCCAATGGTGAACCTGAACAATCCAAATAACATCTATTGTTGGCCCCATTCCGTAGCTAGCCTATACAGCCAGAGATGAGAGTTGTTTCCGATAGCTTACTTTTATTCTGGTAAAACCATTTTCAACAGCGCATAGATAACAATAACCTGGCAAATGACATACAGTGGGGGAAAAAAAGTATTTAGTCAGCCACCAATTGTGCAAGTTCTCCCACTTAAAAAGATGAGAGAGGCCTGTAATTTTAATCATAGGTACACGTCAACTATGACAGACAAACTGAGGAAAAAAAAAATCTGCGGAAACATTTCAATCGGGGACCGATTGTGTAATAAAGCACAAGAGCTTGTGATATACAGTGAACAATATCTTTCCTTATATAGTTTCATAATACTCAAACTCCATCCTGTCTATAAAGCAATAGAAAAACAATGAAGCTCCAGCACACTAGTGATCCAAGCTTCTCCACAAACTTTTGAATGGATCTCACAGCCAATGGTTCGGTCCATAGACCTTCTTCAGTGTTTTTTTATAAGGCAACATAAGACATCATATGAAGCATCTATAACTAAAGTATTACTGAACCTATTTAATTCATTTACATTTTACATTTACTTATCCAGAGCGACTTACAGTTAGTGAGTGTATACATTTTTTCATACTGGCCCCCCGTGGGGAAACGAACCCACAACCCTGGCGTTGCAAGCGCCATGCTCTACCAACTGAGCTACAGGGGACTTAAATACAACGCAGTTTTAAAAATACATACTTAAATGGAAGTATATTTTCTGCATTTAGGAGTTGGGGAGTTGTGGGGTTAACGAATTGAAAACAAAACACCTATTGACTATTATCAGATTTTGCTGTTAGATAATGGACGTTTAAAGTGATGCTCCAGAGATTTTGTATAATTTCAGCCAGTAGTTTTGAAGGTAGTGCTCATGAGCCAAAACGGGTCCCCGAAAATGGTGCACTACGTCATCCATTTTGCATGATATGTTACACGTGTTTTTATTTAGAAAATGTTTTTTTTTTGCAATACAATATGTTACGAATTTGTAAGTGCTTAAGATCCCGGGCTGAATCTTTAATGCAGAATGAGTTTCAATGTACATCACTCAGTTCCTTTTCTCTGTCTTTGTAGTTCCTGATCAACCGAGAGGGCCAGGTTATGAAGAGATATGGACCAATGGATGATCCCAGCGTAAGTCAATGACTGTAATTACAGCACAGGCCTATGATGGGCTCACTGACATGTCCATGTTATGTAGCAGCACTCAGCCATATCCTCAGGCCTTGCCCGGAATAACCCTCTCTATCATTCTGCCTTGTGACTTTGCCACTGAAATGATGCATTATCCACCATTTATAAATGCTTCCTGGAAACCTTGTTATGTGATCACAACCCCGTAAAATTGGCAGTAATGGCAGGGGGGGGGGGTGCAGCAATCCTCTATCAAGCACACAGAACATTTGAATATTTACATTTAAGTCATTTAGCAGACGCTCTTATCCATAGCGACTTACAAATTGGTGCATTCAACTTAGGATAGCCAGTGGGACAACCACTCCTTTTTTTGGTGGGGGAAGGGGGGTAGAAGGATTACTGTTATAGGGCAGGCTTTCTTTAACGGCTGCTCAGATATGGTATCTCTCTTATACAGTGTCGCTACTGAACGGGAAATCCAATAGACCACAACTGTCTATAGCTGGCTACTGCCCCAAACAGGTATTCAAATTATTTATCACGTTTCAAAATGATCATTTGCAAACTGTAAAATGATCAATCTTAGCACAATAAAGATATTTTTTTCAAAATGTGGATTCTGACCCCAGTATTTTTGCACAGTCATCATAGTACTTCATGGAGTTCTTCACGAAGCTGAAGCCATTGACATCGCACACGTACGACTGGCCGTTGGCGCGTAGCAAGTCGAAACCACAGACCGTTTGCTGTCAAGAGAAAGGAGAAGTGAAAATGAGAAAATGCTCCCCACGGTCGGAGCATCCGAGATCTGACATTTAACCTCACCATCTAAAGTTACAAGCATGCCTTTATGGTTCACTGGTAAGGCAGATAAGGGAATTGAAACCTATCGTCACTGAAAAATGTTTATTTTACATCGTATCAAAAAATATTAAATACATTATTTGATTAATCAGATTGAACGCACATTATTGGGCCATAATTGAAAACAGACGTAATGTCTTGATATTATTTGATATTTCTGATACTGTGTTGCAATTTAGGCACTAAATTCTATTTAGTCTCTAGGGAACTTGGGTACTTAGGGCACTTCTACTTAGTGTTTCCTAGCATTTACGCCACTCGACTCTCTTTAAACAACCCCAATCACCTTTGCTTGGTCCATTCAACAGGGCTGTCCACCTTAATCAAGCCAGTCTAGGGATAATGAGTCAAGTCCCTGTCTGTGTCCCAAATGGCACCCTATTCCTTAGATAGTACACCACTTTGGACAAGAGGGTCATAGGGCTCTGTTCCAAAGTAGTGCACTATGTAAGGAATAGCTTGCCATTTGGGACGCAGAAACACAGTCTTGGCCTAGCTTAAGGTCATGGTTGCTAGTGTGTTGTCCCTGGTTACCTTGAAGGCCAGACAGACCTTCCAGGCGATGAGCTTCTCGCGGGCATTGAGGATGACTGGGTAGCGCACCTCCTTGCCCTCACTGTCCCGCTCCACCTTGCCGTCCAGGGCCGGGGACTTCCTGGCCTCCGCGTGGGCGTAGTCAGGCCCCACTGTGTACACCTAGGGACCAAACCCACCCCACACACAGACACCACCCCCCCACCCACCCACAGACACCACCCCCCCCCACCCACAAAAGTATGGTTGTTACCTATCCAGCGTTTTTATATAATAAAATAAGTATTTTTCTATTCCACTTCCATTGTTCTCTGAGAGTAGGGCTCTGGTCAAAAGGAGTGCACTATATAGGGAATAGGGTGCAATTTGGTACGCATGCTCACTGTGGTGCTCAAAGCAAAGGACACAGTGTGAAATACTGAATCTAGTGGCCTCACCGTCCTCGTCGTTTTTCAGCTGTGTAACTAAAAGCTGGTGCCTGATCGTACAAAGTAAATATAATTAGCATTTTTAGCTGCCCTATTTCAGCTGGTCCCAGAGAGTAAATATAGCTTGTGTCCCAAGTGGCACCCTATGGCCCTAAGCCATTTGGAACGTAGAAATAATATGCGGTTTTAGCTAGATCCCTTTTCAGCTGAGCCAATGAGATAAATATAATGATATATATACTGCTGGGTTGGAGCTCTCCTATTTCGTCTGACTCTGCAATCTGGATTTGCACAGTCACTCTCCCCCCCTCATCTTTGTAACCGAGACAGTCTTCCGCGAGGCACAACACATAAATCCTACATAACACATCAATTCTATTATGTTGTGCTTTGAAGCAAATAGACTCTAAAACGGAAGTAGAATGGAAAACACTGAAGTAAATACATTTAACACTTGTTTAACACAAACAGCTGTTGGCTAATGGGACGTACCTTTACATCTGTTCCATCCGTTGGCATGAACTCTTCATAAATGTAGGATCCAGTTTTTCGCACATTACTCTCGGGCGAATAAACACTACTTCTGCTTCCAATCTAGAGGGAAGATCAGGAGGAGAGAAATTACATGGTATTAGTGGCTTGTACAGTCTCTAGCTAGAATTACATGGTATTAGTGGCTTGTACAGTCTCTAGCTAGCCTTGTATGGTATTAGTGGCTTGTACAGTCTCTAGCTAGAATTACATGGTATTAGTGGCTTGTACAGTCTCTAGCTAGCATTACATGGTATTAGTGGCTTGTACAGTCTCTAGAAAGCCTTGCATGGTATTAGTGGCTTGTACAGTCTCTAGCTAGCCTTGTATGGTATTAGTGGCTTGTACAGTCTCTAGCTAGCCTTGCATGGTATTAGTGGCTTGTACAGTCTCTAGCTAGCCTTGTATGGTATTAGTGGCTTGTACAGTCTCTAGCTAGAATTACATGGTATTAGTGGCTTGTACAGTCTCTAGCTAGCATTACATGGTATTAGTGGCTTGTACAGTCTCTAGAAAGCCTTGCATGGTATTAGTGGCTTGTACAGTCTCTAGCTAGCATTACATGGTATTAGTGGCTTTTACAGTCTCTAGAAAGCCTTGCATGGTATTAGTGGCTTGTACAGTCTCTAGCTAGCATTACATGGTATTAGTGGCTTGTACAGTCTCTAGCTAGCCTTGCATGGTATTAGTGGCTTGTACAGGCTCCAGCAGCCTCCAGCAGCCTCCAGCTAGCATTACATGGTTTTAGGGGCTAATACTGCAGAGATTCTGCTAGAGCACTGAGTTATGAATAGTGCCCAGTTTCTGCTGATCACATGATCTGACCAGGAAATACTCCTGGCATTAGTTAGGAATGTTGACGGCTAAGTGTGTGTGTGTGTGTGTGTGTGTGTGAGTGAGTATGTATACTACATTCCAAAATCATGGGCATTAATATGGAGTTGGTCCCCCCTTTGCTGCTATAACAGCCTCCACTCTTCTGGGAAGGCTTTCCACTAGATGTTGGAACATTTCTGCAGGGACTTGCTTCCATCCAGCCACAAGAGCATTAGTGAGGTCGGGCACTGATGTTGGGCGATTAGGCCTGGCTCGCAGTCGGCGTTCCAATTCATCCCAAAGGTGTTCGATGGGATTGAGGTCAGGGCCAGTCAAGTTCTTCCACACCGATCTCAACAAACCATTTCTGTATGGACCTCGCTTTGTGCATGGGGTTATTGTCATGCTGAAACAGGAAAGGGCCTTCCCCAAACTGTTGCCAAAAAGTTTGAAGCACAGAATCATCTAGAATGTAATTGTATGCTGTAGCGTTAAGATTTCCCTTCACTGGAACTAAGGGGCGTAGCCGGAAAAACAGCCCCAGACCATTATTCCTCCTCCACCAAACTTTACAGTTGGTACTATGCATTGGGGCAGGTGGCGCTCACCTGGCATCCGCCAAACCCTGATTAGTCCGTCGGACTGCCAGACGGTAAAGCGTGATTCATCACTCCAGAGAACCAGTTTCTACTGCTCCAGAGTCCAATAGCGGCGAGCTTTACGCCACTCCAGCCGACGCTTGTCATTGCGCATAGTGATTTTAGGCTTGTGTGCGGCTGCTCGGCCATGGAAACCCATTTCATGAAGCTCCTGACGAACAGTTCTCGTGCTGAAGTTGCATCCAGAGGCAGTTTGGAACTCAGTAGTGAGTGTTGCAACCGAGGACAGACGATTTTTACGCGCTACACGCTTCAGCACTCGCCGATCCCGTTCTGTAAGCTTATGTGGCCTACCACTTCGCGGCTGAGCCATTGTTCCTCCTAGACGTTTCCACTTCACAATAACAGCACTTACAGTTGACTGGGGCAGCTCTAGCAGGGCAGAAATATAGTTGAAGTCGGAAGTTTACATACACTTAGGTTGGAGTCATTAAACTTGTTTTTCAACCACTCCACACATTTCTTGTTAACAAACTATAGTTTTGGCAAGTCGGTTAGGACATCTACTTTGTGCATGACACAAGTAATTTTTCCAACAATTGTTTACAGACAGATTATTTCACTTATAATTCACTGTATCACAAATCCAGTGGGTCAGAAGTTTACATACACTAAGTTGACTGTGCCTTTAAACAGCTTCCAGAAAAGGATGTCATGGCTTTAGAAGCTTCTGATAGGCTAATTGACATCATCTGAGACAATTGGAGGTGTACCTGTGGATGTATTTCAAGGCCTACCTTCAAACTCAGTGCCTCTTTGCTTGACATCATGGGAAAATCAAAAGAAATCAGCCAAGACCTCAGAAAAACAATTGTAGACCTTCACAAGTCTGGTTCATCCTTGGGAGCAATTTCCAAACGCCTGAAGGTACCACGTTCATATGTACAAACAATAATACGCAAGTATAAACACCATGGGACCACACAGCCGTCATACCGCTCAGGAAGGAGACGCGTTCTGTCTCCTAGAGATGAACGTACTTTGGTGTGAAAAGTGCAAATCAATCCCAGAACAACAGCAAAGGACCTTCTGAAGATGCTGGAGGAAACAGGTACATAATTATCTATATCCACAGTAAAACGAGTCCTATATCGACATAACCTGAAAGGCCACTCAGCAAGGAAGAAGCCACTGCTCCAAAACCGCCATAAAAAAGCCAGACTACGATTTGCAACTGCACATGGGGACAAAGATTGTACTTTTTGGAGAAATGTCCTCTGGTCTGATCAAACAAAAATAGAACTGTTTGGCCATAATGACTATCGTTATGTTTGGAGGAAAAAGGGGGTGCTTGCAAGCCGAAGAACACCATACCAACCGTGAAGCACGGGGGTGGCAGCATCATGCTGTGGGGGTGCTTCTCTGCAGGAGGGACTGGTGCACTTCACCAAATAGATGGCATCATGAGGAAGGAAAATTATGTGGATATTTTGAAGCAACAACCCAAGACATCAGTCAGGAAGTTAAAGCTTGGTCGCAAATGGGTCTTCCAAATGGACAATGACCCCAAGCATACTTCCAAAGTTGTGGCAAAATGGCTTAAGGACAACAAAGTCAAGGTATTGGAGTGGCCATCACAAAGCCCTGACCTCAATCCTATTGAAAATGTGTGGGCAGAACTGAAAAAGCGTGTGCGAGCAAGGAGGCCTACAAACCTGACTCAGTTACACCAGCTCTGTCAGGAGGAATGGGCCAAAATGTACCCAACTTATTGTGGGAAGCTTGTGGAAGGATACCTGAAACATTTGACCCATGTTAAACAATTTAAAGGCAATGCTACCAAATACTAATTGAGTGTATGTAAACTTCTGACCCACTGGGAATGTGATGAAAGAAATAAAATTGAAATAAATAATTCTCTCTACTATTATTCTGACATTTCACATTCTTAAAATAAAGTGGTGATCCTAACTGACCCAAGACAGGGAATTTTTACTAGGATTAAATATCAGGAATTGTGAAAAACTGAGTTTAAATGTATTTGGGTAAGGTGTATGTAAACTTCCAACTTCAACTTGTTGGAAAAGTGGCATCCTATGACTGTGCCACATTGAAAGTCACTGAGCTCTTCAGTAAGGCCATTTACTGCTAATGTTTGACTATGGAGATTGCATGGCTGTGTGCTCGATTTTATACACCTGTCAGCAACGGGTGTGGCTGAAATTGCCGAATCCACTAAATTTGAAGGGGTGTCCACATACTTATAGTGTATGTATGTACGGATGGATGGATGTCTTGATCTTGTGTGCGCCTGCGTGCATGCATGCATCCTAACCTTGCGGAAGAGCCTCTGGCTGCCCCCTCCGGCCGACGTGGGGTAATAGATGTAGACGTTGTGGTCCTCGGCGCTCACAGGCTTCTCCACAAAGGGCTTCTGGAACACTTCACCATTCACCTCCACGTGGTCCTCCCCCTCTACCAGGTTACACTCTGGACAGAGATGGCACATACAACTGGTTACCTATGGGATTAGCAGGCCTTGATCTCCATTCAGACCCCTTAGCAGCAGGTCTTTACGTACAGCAGTGGTCACTAACCCTGGTCAGCCATTTAATAGTCCAGCACAAAACCAACAAATTCTGTAGCCTGGTCCCAGATATGTTTGTGCTGTTGTTATTACTACGGTGTTACAACGGTGTCTGCATCACAGAATAGTCGTTACCATAGCCTCCTTCACCCCCTGCCATTCAAATAACAATTGCATCATTGTCATCCACTCTCCGTTCAAACGTTCAGGTGATAGAATCCGTCTAAAATTCCATAAGGAGTTGGCAAGAGAGCAGAAACAAACTAGCAATTCTGCACACCCGGTAAATATCTAAAACCAGAGTTGACGACCTCTGACATGGAGAGTATTTTAGACGGATTCAATCACCTGATTTGAACGGAGAGTGGATGAGAATGATTATTTGAATAGCGGGTGGAAAAAAAGAGACTATTCTGTGACGCAGACACCGTAGTAACGGAGATAAGAGAGAAACAGATGCAAAAAAGAGATAGAAAATGGACAAAAACAAAACCGTTCTGGGATAACCTGACAGTGCAAAGGCCTCTTGCGCTGCAGCAGAATGAGAATTTCATACATTTGAGCTTTTCTCCCTTTATAATCTCACTTTATCCAACAGAAAGGGCAAATCTAATCTTCTTATGCCAGGGCAGTGTTTCCTATAGGATTTCTGTTCAACAGCGGTGGCAAAGTTAACGTGTTTGTGGGGGGTGGGGGCTCCAGGGACATGCACCCCTGTGATATGTTTTGGGGTAGAACGACTGAGAGGGTCACTTCTGTTGACTTTTTAAAAAATAACAATCTGCTTTAAAAATGAATTAAAATTAAATTATGTTGACACCATCTGAAATATAATGTTCCCTATAAAAGCATTATAATCTGTAGCCGAACTGATGCAGCATAGCGCCTGTAAACATGGGGTTGCCCATCTGCATTTACCTAATTGAAAACCCCCCAAATACAATTCTCGGAATCAAAAATGGGGCTTATGACCAAATATTTTACAGACGGTCGTCTTGGCTGCAGAGACAATATTTTGCTGTTTTAAAGCAATTCTACAAATTTTTCCATGGCTTATGCCGTGTTCATCTGCTATCTGAGTGACAAACATAACAAAACTGACCTGCTAGATTCCACAGCAGCCGTCACTCACAGCCACTTTACTGCTGCCTGCCTGAAAAGGCCTGTTCCAACGGGGAAAAATTAAGGAGACGTGACATCTGATATATAATTTACGAAATTGGTTGAAATTAGGTTGAGGTTAAGGTTATGTAAAAGTAAGTTTTAGATTTTGGCTAATCAACCTATTAACGGGATGTTGGTGTGAAAAGTCCCCTTAGTATTCTGACACACTGGGTGGGGTGTTCAAGTTCACTTGACTAATGCCCACTCTAGAACATTCTACAAAGACCTCTGAACGTTCTAAATAGTCCTTCTCAACATCCTCTGGTAAATACATGGAATTCTACACAGTTTATTTCAACAAATATGAACGTACAGATGAAACATGGAATTGTAGTACAGATTCCATTTCACAAAAAGGAAAATAAACACCAAAGTAGTGGGCTATCCCATTTATCACAATGGAGGCCAAGGGTCTTAGAGAGGTCAAAGCAGACAGCTGTCATTTCAACAGATGGCCTCCAGTGGCGAGCTGCCCTTAAATTGGCCACCCAGACCAGAGGACCAGTAGAGGAAAACAGGACAGAGGAGAGGAGAAAGACAGAAGGACAGACAGACAGGAGCAGTCTACAAATCCTGGACAAGAGAGAGAAAGAAGGAGAAGACAGCGAGAGAAGAGAGGCGAGACAGACAGAGAGAAGACAGAACAGAGAGGAGCGAGAAAGACAGACAGAAGAGGGAGCGAGAGAGCGAGAAGACAGACAGAGCGAGCGACAGACAGAAGAGCGAGAGCGACAGACAGAAGAGAGAGAAGAGCGAGAAGGACGAGAGAAGAGAGAGGGAGACAGAAGAGGAGACAGACAGAGAGAGAAGACAGACAGAGACAGGAGCAGAGCAGAACGAGAGAGGAGACGAGACAGACAGAGAGACAGACAGAGAGAGGAGAGAAGAAGAGAGAGAAGAGAGAGAGACAGACGAGAGGGAGACGAGAGAGAGAGAGAAGGAGAGAGAGACAGAGGACAGAGAGAGAAGAGAGAGAGGAGAGAGAGAGAGACAGAGACAGAGAGAGACAGACAGACGAGCGACAGAGAGACGAGAGGGAGACGACAGAGAGAGAGAGAGACAGAAAGCAGAAGACAGAGAGCAGGGACAGACAGTAAGAAAGCGAGAAAGACCGACAGACAGACAGAGAGCGAGACAGACAGAGAGAGAGAGAGGCGAGAGAGGAACCGGACAGAGAGAGACGAAGAGAGAGAGAGACAGACAGGAGCAGACAGAGAAAGAAGAGAGCGAGACCGACAGACAGACAGAAGAGAGAGAGAGCGAGACAGCACGGCATGACAGACAGACAGGACAGAACAGAGAGACAGACAGACAGAGAGAGGAGAGACGGACAGCAGAGACAGACAGAAAGAAAGCGAGACAGACAGAGAGGAGCAGAGAGACAGACAGAGCGCCCAGACAGAGAGCCAGACAGAGAGCCAGAACAGAGAGCCAGACAGAGAGCCTAGACAGAGAGCCAGGACAGAGAGCCAGACGAGAGCCGACAGAGCGCCAGGACAGAGAGCAGACGACAGACAGAAGGAGGACAGAGAGAAGAGGGAGACGAGAGAAAGAAGAGAGAGAGAGAGAGAGGGTCGGAGAGGAGTGATGAGAGAGAGAAGAGGGAGAGAGAGAGAGAGAGAGACAGACAGCCAGACAGACAGACAGACCGACAGACAGACAGACAGACGACAGACAGACAGGCACAGGAAGACAGACAGGACAGACAGATCAGACAGACAGAAAGACAGACAGCAGACAGACAGAACAGAACAGACGACAGACAGACAGAGACAGAGACAGAGACAGAGACAGAGACAGAGAGAGAGACAGAGACCATTGTGAGTGGGTGTATAATTACTAATCAGTGCAAAGCTGAGACAGGAAGCAGGTCTCCCAGGCCTAGCGGTGCTCCAGTTTTACCCCTCAGAGCAGGGGGTGGATGGGAACGAGACAGCTGCTACCCACTCACTACAACCAGGTTCACAGACGCTTTATTTTCTTCATTTTAATGAACACAACCCTGTGTACCAATACTGGATTAGACCTGGTGCCCATTCAAACGACAACGTGGCATCCAATCTCTGGAAAGATTGCTTCCATTAAGGGAACCTGATTGGCTGAACGATCAATGGTCTGATCCAAATTAATCTCAGAGAAGTGTTGATGACATAGACTTGGGAGAGGCTACCAGACAATAGGTTAGAGACGCGATAGGGCACTTTGCCAAAAAGATAAAGCTCTTACCATCAAGCCCAATCAGGCCGTAGCTGAATGGCCTTTATTTGCCTACAGCAACAGATGTAGTGTCAACAGGTCTATCCAGCCGCAGCTCATATTCCTATTGGATTTGAACAGCATTGTGGGGGTTCATTTCAGATGCATAATGGCTGCATTGTCCTTTATGACAGGATTGTTTCCGCTAACACTGTTTCCCCATCTGTTTCACAGTCATGGCTAGTCGCCAGTTTAAGACTGAAATGGAAAGCAGTTTTATCCCTCTAACTTTTCTACATGCCAGTAATCTTATGTTTGTAGTAATCTAAAGGACGAGAGAGGAATTTAAGCAGTCCTGATTGATTCCATTCCAGATACGACAGAGTTGAAAATTTAAGAAATGAGTTTGTACATTGATCTCCATCAAAATCACGCCAGTCGATGCGACAATAAAAAGGGGACATATTGGACTAGACAAATAACATCACTGGCTACGTTTCCATCAAACTGGCGATAGAGTTTCATGCAAATATTCTAAGATCCGCATAAAGAAAATATGCATCGCGATGCAGTGGTCTAAGGCACTGCATCGCAGTGCTAGCTGTGCCACTAGAGATCCTGGTTCGAATCCAGGCTCTGTCGTAGCCGGCCACGACCGGGAGACCCATGGGGCGGCGCACAATTGGCCCAGCGTCGTCCAGGGTAGGGGAGGGAATGGCCGGCAGGGATGTAGAGCATGGCGTTTGCAACGCCAGGGTTGTGGGTTCGATTCCCACCGGGGGCCAGTATGAAAAATAAAAAGATAATGTAAGTCGCTCTGGATAAGAGCGTCTGCTAAATGACTAAAATTTAAAATGTGGTGTGTTTCCACCAAACGGACTTGTTCCGGATAAAAATCAGTGCATGATGAGGTAGTGCACTTAAAATGTACCTTGTCGTTTAAGTTTTCATGTACCGAAAAAAAAAATCAAAAAAAGTTAAATGTGTTTCCATCACATTCAACTCTACTGATAGTTTTGTCACAAAAACTGTTGGGCTAAAAATGTGCCTACTCTGGTCTTGTCACGTGCGCTCTAGCCAACAGCTTGCTGATAGAGTGTGGGTAGGCTGAGTGGGTAGGCTAGTCTACATTATGAGATTTTTAAGGATAAGGATATTTTTTCCCCTCAAATAGCAGTCTTTCATTGATCCTTATGTCACCAGAATAAGAAGCTCGATATTTATTGGAAAGGCGCATCAAAACTCATCACCGTGCACTTTCACCACCCTGTGAAGTTCATCGTAACTAATTTAATCTGTAGCCTAATAAACTGCATGCTTTCCCGAGTTGTAGTGGGAGGACCACACACCATAATCACCGCGTGACTCCTAGTTTACTTCGACATGATGGTTATTATATCAATATTTGCGCATAAAAAAGGCATTTCCCCCGCATTTCTCGCATAATTAATTTTACAGACACAATAAGATCCAACCATGTCGAACAAACAAATGATCTGTCAGCATTTATACAATTGTACCGAAACATCCTTTTTCTATCACAGCTGTCATGATTTATTTCCCCACTGTATGACACTACTTATTTATTTGTATTATTTTATTTATTTATTTACTTCACTTGCAGAAAAACTGTGGATGGAAACGTGGTTCCTGAGTAAATCTTTGGACACAATTTTGTTTTGGATTATGATAAGAATAAACTACAAACAAAACAATAGCACAGAGCAAGCAATGAATGAGGGTTTAGCACTGAATTGGCAGAGAAACAGGAACCGGGTTGTTAACAGATGAGGTGCCGGGCAGAAATAAAATGGAGAATAACACAATGGCCTGAACACTGACCTGACAGTGATTCATATTGTCACATTCCTATACTGAAACACTGTTTTGTCACCGTCATGAAGCTAGGAAAATCTCAAGGCCATCAGACTGTTAAATAGCCATCACTAGCACATTAGAGGCTGCTGCTGCCTATTGAAATCACTGGCCACTTTAAGAAATGGAACACTAGTCACTTTAATAATGTTTACATATCTTGCACTACTCATCTCATATGTATATACTGTATTCTATTCTATAATATTCTACTGTATCTTAGTCCATTGCTGCTCTGTCATTGCTTGTCCATATATGTATATATTCTTAATTCCCATTCCTTACTAGTTTTGTGTGTATTGGGTATATGTTGTGAAATTGTTAGATATTACTGCACTGTCGGAACTAGAAGCACAAGCATTTCGCTACACCCGCTATAACATCTGCTAAACACGTGTATGTGACAAGTAACATTTGATTTGATTTGATTTGATTTGATTTGATACGGTGGAAGCGCATTAGAGAATTTGCCCCATATTCTATTAATAACCTTAAAGGGGCATTACACTTCAAAGCTTGTCTGATGTTTGCAAACCTCAAACCTGGTCTTCTGTTGAGGTAAGTACACATCCCAGGCCATCCGTTTTGTAGATCCAGCTATATGCCACAATCCAAGATGAATGGAAAAAAAAGGCACCATTTAATTTAAAGATTTGCTGTGCTCATCTTCTCCATTCTCTTGGGGTTTGAGGCATAGCTGGATCTACATACAGTGTCTTCGGAAAGTTCAGACCCCTCGACTTTTTCCACTTTGTTACGTTACAGCCTTAATCTAAAATGGATTAAATAAATAAAAAATCCTCAATCTACACACAATACCCCATAATGACAAAGCAAAAAAAGGTTTGTTTATATTATTTTTACTGAAGTATTCAGACCCTTTGCTATGAGACACAAAATTGAGCTCAGGTGCATCCTGTTTCCACTGATCATCCTTGAGATGTTTCTACAACTTGATTGGAGTCCACCTGTGGTAAATTCAATTGATTGGACATTATTTGCAAAGGCACACACCTGTCTATATAAGGTCCCACAGTTGACAGTGCATGTCAGAGCAAAAACCAAGCCATGAGGTCGGAGGAATTGTCCGTAGAGCTCCGAGACAGGATTGTGTCGAGGCACAGATCTGGGGAACGGTACAAAAACATTTCTGCAGCATTGAAGGTCCCCAAGAACACAGTGGCCTCCATCATTCTTAAATGGAAGAAGTTTGGAAGCACCAAGACTCTTCCTAGAGCTGGTCGCTGGCCCAAACTGAGCAATCGGGGGAGAAGTGCCTTGGTCAGGGAGGTGACCAAGAACCTGATGGTCACTCTGACAGAGCTCTATAGTTCCTCTGTGGAGCTGGGAGAACCTTCCAGAAGGACAACCATCTCTGCAGCACTCCACCAATCAGGCCTTAATGGTAGAGTGGCCAGACGGAAGCCACTCCTCAGTAAAAGGCACATTACAGCCCGCATGGAGTTTGCCAAAAGGCACTTAAAGACCACGAGAAACTAAATTCTCTGGTCTGATGAAACTAAGATTTAACTATTTGGCCTGAATACCAAGCGTCGCTCCCATCCAACCTGACAGAGCTTGAGAGGATCTGCAGAGAAGAATGGGAGAAACTCCCCAAATACAGAGGTGCCAAGCTTGTAGCGTCATACCCAAGAAGACTCAAGGCTGTAATTGCTGCCAAAGGTGCTTCAACAAAGTACTGAGTAAAGGGTCTGAATACTTACGTAAATGTGATACATTTTTTTATTTTTAATAAATTAGTAAACATGTCTAAAAACCTGTTTTTGCTTTGTCATTATGGAGGTAATTGTGTAGATTGAGGGAGAAAAAACAATTTCATAAATTTTAGAATAAGGCTGTAACATAACAAAACGTGGAATAAATCAAGGGGTCTGAATACTTTCCGAAGTACTCATCTTGACATTAGATTACTTTTTAAGTCTGAAAGCACATTTTAGATTTTGCCCTAGCACCAACACACTTGATTCAACCAATCAACTCATCATCAAGCCTCTGATTATTGGAATCAGGTGTGTTAATGCTAGGGGGAAAAACAAAACATCAACGTGCACCTCTTTGGGTTCCCAGGACCAGGATTGAGAAACACTGCTTTAACCACAAAGGTACTGGGTACTAACCCTCTGGTCTTGCAGGGTCTCTGTTGAGAACGGCGTAGCGTGGGAGTAGGATACCCTGGTTCTTCAGGATCCGATACACCTCCCTCCTGGAGGAAGAGAAATGCTTGATCAGCTGACTGACCACCAACAACAACACAAGGATCAAACCACTCTTTTCATTAGCTGTCTGTAGTCAATTAACCTGCAGCTATTCTTCTCACCTTTCAACAGCTGTGTGCCGTTTCAAGTCTTTCTGAATGTGACCGCTTTCTTAAAAGGGAAACTTTAAGGATTTTGGCAATGAGGTCCTCTATCTACTTCCAAAGAGTCCGATGAACTCGTGGACACCATTGTTATGTCTCTGTCTCCAGTATGAAGGAAGTTCGAGATAGTTTTTCCAATGCTAACTAGCGTTAGCGCAATGACTCGCAAAACTATCTCGAACTTCAGACATAAAAATGGCGTCCACGAGTTCATCTGACTCTTTGGAAGTAGATAGAGGGCCTCATTGCCAAAATCCCAAGTATCCCTTTAACCATAATAATTGAATAATGTACTAATAAGTCAACTGTAATAAATTGGTGGGTATCAGGTTTTATCGTAAATATAGGATAGGCCCATTGAACAGCCAATCCGCCATTTACCGTGTTATAGCCTAACTAGATGATATAAAGGCCTGTGGAAAGTTGTCTAATATAAAAGGTAGATTCAGCGATATGAGTAAACAGGCCGACAGTGGGTCAATTTCCACAACAACTAAGAGCGTTGAAGCATGAGGCTCAACTTCTACACCCTTTTGGTGCCCAGGCTACCATGTTGTGACCAGCGTGAAGCGAACCCGTGCACGTGCGACTGTGTGAGAGCGAAGTGTTGCATCTTGCGCATCTCAATATCCTAGCCTATTCATTGATGATAGGCCCTGCTTTCCTGAAGTTGTGAGACATTGAAAGCCAAGAAATTGCGAGATACAGCATTCCATTGCGAGATACAGCGTTTGATTGCCAATAGATCAGTTCTGACAGTTTACCTGGTGGCCGACCTGCCTATACTGTGCCCCTCCCCTCTCTCTCCGTCCCTCGCTAGCTCGCTATGAAAGATGCAAGTGTTTGTGTTCTCTGATTAGTTGCCGTACTTCCGTCTCCTCCGTTCCAAAAATACAGAATCTTAGGAGTCAATACTTGACACTCAAGAAATGGGAGTCGACACCGGGAATTGACGTGCAAGGAGTTGAGGAATAAATTATTTTGGAGTCGATTCTCCACCACAACGCCATCGTCGTTAACAGTTGGAAGAATCAGAGAAAGGCAAGAGACAGCAGTGAAGTCCTGTATGGCAATAATTGTAGAAGTTAAATGAGAAGGAAATGCAAACTTTGCAAGGTGGAATTGAGGTACAGTAATGCTAGTACAGGTGCAATGCTTAACGTTCTGAAACCATCCGTTGCTGTCAGCAGCGCAGCTGCATTGTGAATTCATATGGAATTTTATAAATTTTTCTTATCGTTTTAACGGAAAACTGATAAAAATGGCAGTTTAAACGTTAAAGAAAATGTTTCCATTTGTCACATCCCTAGTGAACAGTAGCCTAATGTTTTTCTGAAACAAAACATTTCAAAACAATAGCCTAAATTGTCACCTTGCGCATGCTTTTGTAAAAAAATAAGTCAAACAATAAATCACATCTTTTAGCATATTAGCGTATGCGTTAATATGCATCTACTGGTATAGTGTGGCCATCTTTGAACGCCTCAACGTTTTTCCTTTCTCAAACTCTTTAGGGACTATTGTGATGAGTCCAAAGACTAAATTTGGAGCGAATCAGACTTTTTTATGATTATTTTAAGCATTTTAGTCAAAAAAGTGAATTGTTAATAGTTTTCTTATTTTTACAATAGCAATACCAAACTTAATATGATTCATCATGGTAATGACTTTGATGACTCTATTAGGTCTGTGGCGGTCATGAAATTGTCAGCCGGTTATTGTCGTGCAAAAGATTGACCGTTAATTAACATAAACACGACTCCACGCATACAAGCCGCTGAGGCATGCCTTTGGAACACCTACATTTAAAAATAAATGATAAATCATTTTAATATACACCATCACAATAAATCCATTATTTATTTTTGGCAGGTCTAAAGAAACATTATGATATGAAGAAAATGTATTTCAGAAGAACAGAATATGAGTTGGCCTACTGTATGTTATCTGGCTATGCTCCATGCCATAGGACTGTAGGCTTGATCATTTAGCTGACAAGATATGCTTATATGTCCCCATGCCCTTATTTATATGATATGATTTTATAGTAAGAAGAATATAATTTAATTTAGCTGAATAAAATAGAAAGGATATTTTTCCCATTCCAGAGCAAGTGCGCATATGAAGTGACTATGTTGAGCATAAAAGTGATCATTTGAAACAGGTCCTATATGCTAGATTTTGTGAATGATACAAACCTTAGAATGTCTTGGAAATCAAAAGATATACTGGGCTGCATGGTGTGACTATAGGCTATTGCTGATTTGAGAAAGTCGCTAAAAAAAAATTTGCTCTCTGTTCCTTGCCTCAGGCTGCACAAACTGTTCTCTCATCAAGTGATCACATTTTCACCCATCAGACTATTCTCAATTTAATCTTGTCTTTACTAATATGTAAAATTAGTTTTGACTTAGAATGGCCCATTATCAAATGGGCAGGAACAGGGGCAGGGGAGAAAAGACGTCATCGTATGCACTAGAATAGCTGATGGAGGCCACTTTCCCGCAGGTTCTTTTTTCTCACTCATGCCGGTAGGGTGACCACATTTAAAAATACCCAAACGCGGGACAACAGGATGATTTTGCGGGCCAGTGTAGCCTACATTAAAAAAAATTTTGGGTACGCATTTAGATCTTCTTGCTATTGAGTAACTGTTTCGTGAGCAAATTAGAGCATATGGTGTTAACTACAGTGGGGGGAAAAAAGTATTTAGTCAGCCACCAATTGTGCAAGTTCTCCCACTTAAAAAGATGAGAGAGGCCTGTAATTTTCATCATAGGTACACGTCAACTATGACAGACAAAATGAGAGAAAAAAATCCAGAAAATCACATTGTAGGATTTTTTATGAATTGATTTGCAAATTATGGTGGAAAATAAGTATTTGGTCAATAACAAAAGTTTCTCAATACTTTGTTATATACCATTTGTTGGCAATGACATAGGTCAAACGTTTTCTGTAAGTCTTCACAAGGTTTTCACACACTGTTGATGGTATTTTGGCCCATTCCTCCATGCATATCTCCTCTAGAGCAGTGATGTTTTGGGGCTGTCGCTGGGCAACACAGACTTTCAACTCCCTTCAAAGGTTTTCTATGGGGTTGAGATCTGGAGACTGGCTAGGCCACTCCAGGACCTTGAAATGCTTCTTACGAAGCCACTCCTTCGTTGCCCGGGCAATGTGTTTGGGATCATTGTCATGCTGAAAGACCCAGCCACGTTTCATCTTCAATGCCCTTGCTGATGGAAGGAGGTTTTCACTCAAAATCTCACGATACATGGCCCCATTCATTCTTTCCTTTACACGGATCAGTCGTCCTGGTCCCTTTGCAGAAAAACAGCCCCAAAGCATGATGTTTCCACACCCATGCTTCACAGTAGGTATGGTGTTCTTTGGATGCAACTCAGCATTCTTTGTCCTCCAAACACGACGAGTTGAGTTTTTACCAAAAAGTTCTATTTTGGTTTCATCTGACCATATGACATTCTCCCAATCCTCTTCTGGATCATCCAAATGCACTCTAGCAAACTTCAGACGGGCCTGGACATGTACTGGCTTAAGCAGGGGGACACATCTGGCACTGCAGGATTTGAGTCCCTGGCGGTGTAGTGTGTTACTGATGGTAGGCTTTGTTACTTTGGTCCCAGCTCTCTGCAGGTCATTCACTAAGTCCCCCCGTGTGGTTCTGGGATTTTTGCTCACCGTTCTTGTGATCATTTTGACCCCACGGGGTGAAATCTTGCGTGGAGCCCCAGATCGAGGGAGATTATCAGTGGTCTTGTATGCCTTCCATTTCCTAATAATTGCTCCCACAGTTGATTTCTTCAAACCAAGCTGCTTACCTATTGCAGATTCAGTCTTCCCAGCCTGGTGCAGGTCTACAATTTTGTTTCTGGTGTCCTTTGACAGCTCTTTGGTCTTGGCCATAGTGGAGTTTTGAGTGTGACTGTTTGAGGTTGTGGACAGGTGTCTTTTATACTGATAACAAGTTCAAACAGGTGCCATTAATACAGGTAATGAGTGGAGGACAGAGGAGCCTCTTAAAGAAGAAGTTACAGGTCTGTGAGAGCCAGAAATCTTGCTTGTTTGTAGGTGACCAAATACTTATTTTCCACCATAATTTGCAAATAAATATATTTAAAAATCCTACAATGTGATTTTCTGGATTTTTTTTCCTCATTTTGTCTGTCATAGTTGACGTGTACCTATGATAAAATTACAGGCCTCTCTCATCTTTTTAAGTGGGAGAACTTGCACAATTGGTGGCTGACTAAATACTTTTTTTCCCCACTGTATATAACCTTCCTGTATTTTGTTTCAATTAAAGCACATTCTGCCTAGTAGCCTTTATTATCATTCGCACGATGTTGAGTTTCGGCCGCATGACATTCTGTTGTTGTTTGACTATTCATCTAACTATCCTAAAATCTCACAGGAATTGAGGTGGTGTTTTTGGTGTATCAGTAACGTAATACTACGCTATTACACATGTTTATTTTATGTAGAATACTAATTAATAATTATATGATCTTCCAAGACATTGATTCAGCTTTGATCTAACTTTACTAGATGAGCACCACTGTGAGAAGTGGCCGAGTGACGCTCCGGTGCGCTCTGGCAGCACTACACCATGCACTGAACCAGCTCATTTCAGCGCAGCAGCACTGAACCAGCTCATTTCAGCGCAGCAGCACTGAACCAGCTCATTTCAGCGCAGCAGCACTGAACCAGCTCATTTCAGCAAACACACCTATTCCTTTTCCCTGTGCAACATTTGGTGATGCAGAAAGGACAGACTGTTTTATGAAAATCTGGGATTATTATATGGCAAGGAAACAACCTGGTTGGTCTCAGGGATGTAAAACAGTTAGGA